TCACCAGGGAGGAATCCTTCCATCAGCACAGGCCATCTATTCTGAGGAATACAGAGCAGAGACGGTAACAAAACTTGGAGGAATATTTATTTCATCAATTATCTTCCCTATATTATATTCCTATAATGTATTATATCTTTTACAATGTATTATATCTTCTTATAATGTATTTTATAATACATTATATTATAGAAATATATATAATATATTCCTGCAATATATTTTTATAATGTATTATACCTTTTTATAATACACTGAATCATCTTAAACAAACCACTCAAAGACAAGAGCTTTGACCATTACTTACATTGGTCTGTATGCTCCTTCCTAAGCATGGTGCAAACAGAGCATGTGACCTTGGAGGCATCTTTAAATCTTCACAAGTATGTCCATTCTGATGAGTGCAGAGCAGAGAAAATAATAACAAACATGTGATTTTCTCATTGTTGATCTTTCCTTTTCACCTATCTTTAGTTAAACATTTAGGCAATCATTATTTGAAGTATGAACAACTTTGAACTTGCCACTAACCCAGAACATGAAAACGGCATATTAATTTATACTGTCTCTTCATTATTGGCCAAAAAGGTTAGGTATGTTAGATTTCTTTTTGGCTTTCATCAATTTAAATACATATTAAATACACCTCACCACACATTTTTATAGTTGGACAATGCTTAGCTTATTTATTTTATTTATTCACATGTTTTATTCTTTCATTGAACCAATTATAAAATAAAAACTCATAAACAAAAAAAAATTCATTCTATATTCTTGCCATCTGTCTAGAGTTACTTGAAACAGAGGAAACTGACTTCTGTGATGGACCTCAGAGTTCCAGACACATATTCATCGTATGTGACTCATACTCCACCAGTGCTCATCATCGATCCAGGGTTGACCCTCTTTCTCTCCATTCATTTCTACGTTGTCTTTAGATTCATTCATTAATTCACTGGTAATAATTTTACACTCTGTGATTCATGAAACCCTAAGAACAGACTTGATATTCCTTATCTTTACACAGAATCATTCTAACATAGATATATCTGTTTCATTAATTCTTCTCCGTTTTTCATATATGCATTATCAATAAATATTTCAGATACCTCTCATAAATACCATTGGGACATAGTTGACCATCGTTGACTATATAATACACTTTTTCATGATACATTGAGTCCTCTTTAGCAAATCACACAAACCAACACAGGAATTTTGACTATTACTAACATTGGTCTGCATGCACCTTCCCAAGCATGGTGTACAAACAGGGCACGTGATCATGGAGGAATCCTTAACATAGCACAAGTTGTTCACTCTGAGGAATACAGACCAGAGAAGAGAGTAACAAAATTAAGACATTTTCAATATTGATATTTGCTTTTCAGCTATCATTAATTAGCCATTCATGCAATCATTATTTGGAGTATATTTAATTCATTTTCTGAAAATAAAATGAATAATTTTGAAACTGTCGCTGATGCAGAAGTTGAACATTACCTACATTTTATTCTGTCTATACCTCATTAGCCAAAGAAGACACAGGAATGTACCGTTTATTTCTCTGTGGATGTCTCTGTTTCATATACATTAATCATGTTTCTTACCTTGTCCCTAATTTTTATAACTGGACAATGCTTGAATTTATTCATCTTGATTTGCATTTGTTTATTAATTCTCATATGGATCAATTGTAAAAGTAGAATCAAAACATGTAAACACAAATACCAAAAACATATACATTCTATACTCCTGACAGCTGTCTGTAAAATAATTTCAAACATACAGAACAGGCTAGATTTTGTTTGCAACGGACCTCAGAGTTCTAGACACGTATTCATCGCAAAAGACTCATACGCCACCAGTAGTCATCATCGATCCGGAACTGATCTTCTATTTTTGGATTCATTTCTGCCTTGTCTATTGACTAATTTGTTAATTCACTAATCATAATTTTAAGCCCTATGATTTACAAAACCACAAGAATAGCCATGATAATCCTAATATGTAGGAATATTTATTTCATCAATTATCTTCAGTTTCTCTTGTATGCATCTTCAATATAACCCTCACATCATGCCCATGTTTATTTAAATACAGTTGCTCATCTTTGATTATATATACACCTTTTTATAATATATTGAACCCTCTGGAAGAAACCACCCAAAGCAAGCTGAGGACTTCCACTATTCCTTACCTAGGTCTCCAGGCTCCATCCCAAAAACGGTGCAAGTAGAGCACATGGCCTTGAAGGAATCCCTCAATCAGCAAAGTGCAATCATTCCAGGGAATACAGAGCAGAGAAGAAGATAACTTTTGTTATCCTCTATTTCCATATTATCCTATTATCTATGCTATCCTCTATTTTTATACTATCCTATTTTAAATATTAAAAATATATTTATTATCAAATATTAAATATATTTGATATTATCCTATTATCCTATTTTGATATTGTCACTACTGACCCTTTCTTATCACCTATCATTAGTCAGTCATTTCGGCAGTCATTATTTGCAGTATATTCATTTTATCTAAAGAAATGCATAATTCTGAAATTGCCATTGACCCAGAAATTGAATATTTTCTATAATTTGTACTGTCTATACCATCATTAGCCACAGAGGTCACCAGAAGATGCGATTTATATCTCTGTGGACTTCACTGTGTCAAAAGATATTAAGAGTGCTTCTGGCCAGATGCTGTGGTTCATGCCTGTAATCCCAACACTTTGGGAGGCTGAGGTGGGCGGATCACTTGAGGTCAGGGATTCAAGACAATCCGATATTTTGATAATATCGAGTCCTCTCAAACCATTCAAACCATTCAAGCCAAGATGAGAATGTTTATTACTACTCACATTGGTCTGTAGGCTCCCAACCATGATAAAAAGAGCACGTGACCATGGAGGAATTCTCAAATCATAACAAGTGCATCATTCTGAAAGGATAGAAAGCAGAAAAGATAAAAAAATTCTCAACATTGATCCCTGATTTTCACCTGTTATTAGTCACTTTGGCAATCATTATTTGGAGTATATTTGTTTTATTTATTTTCTCTTAATAAAATGAAAATCTTCAAAATTACCACTGACTCAGAATATGAACATTGTCTATAATTTATACTATCTGTATCATATACCATTCATTTCTTTTTAGACTTCACTGATTTTAATACATGTTAATAGCATTTCTAACCTTACCATAAATTTTTATAATTGGGCAGTGTTTGAATCATTTTATATTTACTATATATTTGTTTCCTGATTATCACAGTGATCCAATTATAAAAATAGAAGAAAGGTACATAATCACATAGAAAAAACAAACATTCTATATTTTTAAAATCTGTCGATAACAACATTCGAAACCGAGAATAAGCCAGATTTTATTTGTGACGGACCTCAGAGTTCCAGACACGCATTCATCACGTATGACTCATATGCCACCGGTAGTCATCATCGATCCAGAATGTGTCCTATTTTTCCCTGTGCACTTTTACCTTGTCTAATGATTAATTCATTAATTCGCTAATAATAATTTTAAAACCTTTGGTTCACAAACGCCTCAGAACAGCATTAATATTAATATTCTTTATCTGCATATAGAATCATTCTCACACTGATAAATGTTTCATTAATTACTCTCAGGTTTTCAAATACATATTGTTAATATAATGCTTCATATCACTACTATTTCTATCACTGGGCTGCAGCTGGCCATTTTTGATTATAGTGCAGACTTTTTAATAATACATCAAGTCCTCCTAACTAAACCACCCAAACTAAGACCAGAACTTGATTACTCACATTGGTCTGCCTGCTCCCAATCAAGAGGCAGACACACCACATCACCAGGGAGGAATCCTTCCATCAGCACAGGCCATCTATTCTGAGGAATACAGAGCAGAGACGGTAACAAAACTGAGACTTTCTCATTAATGATCCTTGCTTTTCACCTTGCCTTTAATCTGTCCTTTAGGCATTCATTAGGTGGACTAATATTTATTTCGTTTTCTCCTAAGAAAAAGAACAATTTGATCTTGCAAGTGAATAAGAATTTGAACATTATCTATAATTTATTCTGTCTATATTATTATAAGCCAAAGAGGTAACAGGTATGTACAATATCTCTTTGGACTTCACCAATTTCAATATACATTAATAGTATTTCCTGCTTCAACACGTATTTTTATAGTTGTACAATGCTCCCCTATTTTATCTTTATTTATATGTTTATTGATTCTTGCATTAGAATGAAAATGAAACCAAAACAACTTCATTCCATATTCCTGACATCAGTCTATAGAATCACGTAAAACAGAGCGAATGGACTAGATATCTTTTGTGGCGGACCTCAGAGTTCCAGACACGTATTCATCACATATGACTCATACGCCACCGGTGGTCATCATTGATCCAGGATTGGCCCTCCTTTTCTCCATTCAGTTTTACATTGTCTGTTGGTTGCCTCATTAATTTACTAATAATAATTTCAAAGCCTATGATTCGAAAAACTCCAAGAACAGCCTTGATATTTCTGATCTGTATCCAGAATCATTCTAACATGGATATTATCTGTTTCATTAATTATCCTCAGTTTTTCATACATCCATTATCAATATAATACTTCGTGTCACTGCCATGTCTACCATCAGGATAACATTAACCATCTTTGACTATATTTCACACTTTTTAATAATACATTGATTACTCTTAAACAAACCACCCAAACCACAATAAGGACTCTGACCATTACTCACATTGGTCTGCAGGTTCCTTCCTAAGCACGGTGCAAACAGAGCATGTGACCCTAGAGGAATTCTCAAGACAGAACAACGATGTCCATTCTGAGTAGTACAGTGCAGAGAAGATGATAACAAATTTGAGACATTATCACCATTGATCCTTGCTTTTTGCATTTCTTTAGTCATTTAGGCTACCATTATTTAGAGTACAGTATATTTATTTCACTTTCTCTTAAGAAGATGAACAATTCTTAATTTGCCACTGACCCAGAATACAAACACTGTCTATAATCATCCTCTCTATATCATTAGCCAAAGAGGTGACAGACATGTAACATTTATTTCTCTTTGAACTTCGCTATTTCCAATACATATTAATAGTATTTGTCTCAACACTTCACCCAATATATCTTTTTTTTTTTGAGACGGAGTCTCGCTCTGTCGCCCAGGCTGGAGTGCAGTGGCCGGATCTCAACTCACTGCAAGCTCCGCCTCCCGGGTTTACGCCATTCTCCTGCCTCAGCCTCCCGAGTAGCTGGGACTACAGGTGCCCAGCTAGTTTTTTGTATTTTTTAGTAGAGACGGGGTTTCACCATGTTAGCCAGGATGGTCTCGATCTCCTGACCTTGTGATCCGCCCGTCTCGGCCTCCCAAAGTGCTGGGATTACAGGCTTGAGCCACCACGCCTGGACAATATATCTTTATTTTTATATTTGTTTGTTGATTCTCACATTAACTCAATAATAAAAATAGAATGAAAATGTATGAGTACAAAGACCAAAAACAAACCCACTCTACGCTCGTGATACCCATCTAAAGGATTGTATCAAACATAGAAAATGGGCTAGATTTCTTTTGTGACACACCTCAGAGTTCCAGAGACATATTCATTGTAGATGACTCATATGCCACCAGTAGTCATCATCAACCCACAGGATAGGTGCTCTTTCTCTCCACTCACTTCTGATTACTTACTAATGATTTATTAATCCACTGACCATAAATTTTAAAATCGTGGTTCATGAAATCTCAATAAGAGCTTAGAGATTCCTAATCCCTACAATGAATCCTTCTAATATGGATACGGCTGTTTCATTCACTATCCTCAGTTTTCCATAGATGCATTATCAATATAACGCTTCACATGAGTCCCCTATTTATTGCTAGAATACCACTGGTCATCTTTGATTATAGTATACACTTTTTTAGTAATTCATTGAATATTTTGAAATAACTATGCAAACCAAGAGAAGAATTTTAATGATCACTCACATTGGTCTCTGTGCTACTAACAAATAGATGCAATCATAGAACAAAGATGCAAGGAGGAATGTTTCAATCGGCTCAAGCACACTCATTCTGATGAAAACAAAGCAGAGTCGATATTTTAAAAAACAGACACCTCATCCTCTATAATTCTTCCTGTCTACATTTCTTTTACTTGATCATTCAGGTACTTAATAATTTTCCATGAAGTATATGTTTTTTCTCTTAACAAAAGGGACAACCTCAAACTTAGACGAACTGGTTCAGAATAATAAAATTGATTCTTACTATTATTAGTGTCTATATGATTTTAAGCCAAAGAAAGAGGGAACATCTTTGATCCAATATTTTCTTAATGGATGTTAGTTTTCTCTACTTGTATTAATAATATTGATTGCCTCACTACATACTTTTATAGCTGAACAGTGCTGCACTCTCTTCAATTTTATCTGTTTACTTATATTTGTTTAATGGTCCTATCATTAATTCTTTAATATTAATAAATCTAAATCTATGAATCTAAAATAAGAACATGGTCCTTATGTATGCCAAACATCTGTCTATAGGATTATTCCAAACAGAAAGAATAAATACGTTTTGTGTTGATGCTCAGAGTTCCACCCACATATTACTCATCGTTTATGACTCCTGCACCAGTATCTGTAATCATTGTTCTGTGTGTACTCATTGGCCAACTTTTTCTTCATTCACTCTTACATTTGCAGAGACTGAATCACTAATTCACTGAAAATCAGTGAGTCAGAAAAATGCAAAAATAAAATGCTAGAATAGTGCTAACAGCTATCAATACAACCATTTCCCATATACATTCCATCTTTTTCATTTAATGATGTCAGTATTAGGGATTAATCAACATCATATTTTACATTATACTTGTTATTAACTATTTGATTAATACTTTTTAATAATACCATGAATACTCACAAACAAATAAATGAAACCAAGACAAGAACACTGACTGACTATATTCACATTGGTCTCTTTTTGAACGGAGTTAACATGAGAAACTTGATTGTTGCAGAGTGCTCAAATCAGCTAACTGCATCTGCATGGAAGGGTGCTAGGTGGAGATGATGATAAAAAGATTGAGACATTCTGTCCGTTGATCTATAATTTCTTTCTTTCATTCACTTAGTCGTTTAGGTATTTATTAATTTATGGTAATATTTATTTATTTTTCTTCTTATGAACTTCAAACTTGTAATTGACTTGGGGCAATAACTGGCTATGACTTATCAGTAATTATTACTATTGTCTCTATCATCTTTAGTCAGAAATATTATACACCTGGTCCATTTATTATCCATTCCAATGTACATTAACAGTATTTTCCTTACTGCATATTTCAGCAATGAACAAGGCTTTGTCCTTTTCATTTTTATTTGTTTTATTTTATTTGTACATTTATTTGTTTATTCTGCCATTGCTACTTTTACAATATTTTTAAACCTCTCGCACACAAGACTAATCACAAACTCCTTGTACATTTCAGGTATCCGTCTATTATATCACTTTATAATATATGGGAATGGACTAGATTCTATTTGTGTTGGACCTCAAAGTTTCAGATACGTACTATTCTTCATATACAACCAGCATATACAATCACGTAAGCCACCAGTTGTCATCAATGGTCCAGGATTGGCCTTCTTTCTCTTCATTCATACCTACACTTGTTTATTGAGTAATTCATTAATAAAGACATACACATAAACCACAAAAAATAAGCTCTTCAATATCACTCACATTCATCTATACTATCACAAAGAGCCTAAATCCCTTTCTTTAAATGAATTCAGTTTTTCACATAGCATTAATCAACGTAATACTGCATATCAACCTGAAATAAAACATTAGCATGATTGACATTCTTTGAATCACTCAAACCAATGGAATTTTTACCATTGCTGATGCTGGTCTCTATGCTCCTAACACATAGATACAAACACAGAGTTCGTAAGCGTGGAAGAATATACAAATCAGAGCACAGGAGATGATTACATATTCTCTTCATTGAGCCACAGATGCCTCCATCCCTTTATATAGTCATTCAGGCATTTATAAATTTATATCAATATTTATTTTTCTCCTAATAAATCAAACATGAAATACGCAAGTGAATTATCAAAAACCGTTACTTCTCACTTTCAGTTATCACTGTTAGTCTAAGACAAAATACACTTGTTCCAATTTATATTAATACTATTTTTCCCTCCTGTATATTTTAACAATGAGCACGCTTTACCACCTTGATGTTTATTCATTATGTATTTGTTTATCTACTCTATCAGTGATTCCTTATAATTTTTAAGAATGCATGAACACAGCCGGGCGTGGCGGCTTATGCCTGTAATCCCAGCACTTTAGGAGGTTGAGGAGGGCGGATCACGAGGTCAGGAATTCAAGCCAGCCTGGGCAAGATGGTGAAACCCCCTCTGTACTGAAAATACAAAAATTAGCCAGGCGTGGTGGCGGGTACCTGTAATCCCAGCTACTCGAGAGGCGGAGGCAGAGAATTGCTTGAACCTGGGAGGCAGAGCTTGCAGTAAGCTGAGATCGCACTGCTGCACTCCAGCCTGAGCAACAGAGAGAGACTCCATCTCAAAAAAAAGAATGCATGAACACAAAGATTCTTGTATGTCACTGACACCAACTTACTGGACCTTGTAAAGAGAGGAAATGAATGCATACTCCCAATGGTCTGCGTGCTCCTAACACACAGAACCAACCATAGTGCACATGCCATGGAAGAGTGCTTAAATCAGATGGAGTGAAGCCATTCTGAGGAGTGTAAACAGAACAGATGATCTAAAAATTCAGACATTCCTCCAATGATCCTTGCCTTTCACCTTTCATTTATCACTTAAATCATCATTATTTGGAATATATTTATTTCATATTCTCTTGAAACAAATGACTCTGAACTTGCCACTAACAAAAACACTTCTTATACCTTTGAGTCATATACCACCAGTCATCATCATTGGTCCAGGTATGGCCCATCTTTTCTTCATTTGTTTCTACATTGTTTATTGATTAATTCAGTAATTTATGAATAATGTGTTTAAAGTGCCATAATGCACAAAACCTGAAAAAAGCCTTGATGTCCCTAATATGTGTATAGAATCATTCTCAGGTCAATGTACCTCCTTTACTAAATATCCTCAGTTTTCTTAAATGAATTAATTGAATTAATTCATCAATAGACTGCTCCATATCAATTTCACATTTGACACTGGGCTGCAGTTGGCCTTCTTTAATATACTGTATAATTTTTAATACTGTAGTAACTACCCTTAAAAAAAGTACTCAAGCCAAGAACATTGACTATTACTTACAGTGGACTCCAAGCTCCTAACACACAGATGCAACTGTACAGCCTGTGGGCATGAAGGGGTGCTTGAGACAACTCAAGTGAGCCCATTCTGAGGTGCACAAAGTAGGACTGTTGATTAAAAATTTGAGACATTATGGCCATGGTTCCCTGCTTTGTGTCTACCGTTCAGCCGGTAATTAAGGCAAACATTCCTTGGGAGGATATTACATTTTCTCTAAAAACGAACAACTTCAGATTTGCCACAGACTCAGAGTATGAACATTGCCTATAATTTAAACTGCCTGTGTATCATTAGCCACAGAGGTAAAAGTCACATACCATTAATTTCTCATTGAATTTCATGATTTCAATGTAAAGTAATAATACTTCTTGCCTTCCCATATATTTCTATATTTGGATAATGCCTCATCTATTTTATCTCGATTTACTTATACTTTTGTTCATTGATGCTTTTATTGATCTGATTATAATAATAGAATGAAAGTGCATGGAAAAAAACATCACTTTTCTTTTGTGTTGGACCTCAGAGTTCCACACACATATCATTCATTATCCAAGACTCATATGCCGGCAAGTTTCATCATTGATCCAGGAAGGGCCCACTTATACTCAATTCATTTCTAAGTTATTTATTGATTAATTTAATAATTATAATTTTAAAACTCTGATTCACAAAAATTCAAGAGATTTATATCCCTAACATGTACTTAAAATCATTCTCACTTCAATATCTCTTAATGTTAATAATAATTGTAGTATTTCATGTACACACTAAAAAATATAATACCTCATATTAATCCCATGCTTATTACTAAGCTACAGCTCACCTTCTTTGATTATATTTCACACTTTTTAATAATATAGTGACTGCCCATAAACAAACCATGCAAAACAAGACAAGAACTTTAGCTATTACTCACATTGTTCTCTAGGCTCCTAATGCAGACATGCAACCCAAAAGCTTGTGACCAAGGAGGAATTCTCAAGTCAGCTTGAGTGGGTCCATTCCGAGAAATACAAATCAGAGAAAATGGCCAAAAAAAAAAAAAAAAAAGACATTCTCTGCATAGCATGAAGACCAAAACCAAGATCCTTGTATAGTCGCGACAACTGGCTACAGCATCACTTCAACCAAAGTAAATGAACTACATCCTTTCCCATTGGATCTCAGAGTTCTAGACGCGTATTCATCGTATATGACTCATACGCCACCAGTAGTCATCATTGATCTAGGATTGGCCCTTTTACTCTATTGTCACCTACATTTGTTTATTGATTAATTCATTGTATCATACAATTATAGTGTTATTATTCACAAAAACTCAAGAAGAGTCCTTATATCCCTAATTTCTATATAGAATTATTCTAACATCAATATAACAGTTTCATTAATTATCCTATTTTTAATACATGCATTAATGGATATAATATTTCATACATCTCATATTTATTACTGAGTTATAATTGCATTCATTATATTTCATGCTTTTTAATAATATAGTGAATAATCTTAAGATAAAAGAAATATTGAAACCAAGAAAAGAATGTCAGTCATTACTCACTTTAATCTCTGTGCTCTTAATATACAGAGGCAACCACAGAGCTCGTAGCCGTGGAAGAGTGCTTAAATCACCTGAGTGTGTTCATTCTAAGGGTATGAAGCAGAGCAAATGATAACAAAATTAAGACCTTATCTCCATTGATTCTTGATTCCTGCTTTCTGCATTTCATTTACTAGGTCATATAGTTATTTATTTGTTCACTATGTGTGTGTGTGTGTGTGCGTGTGTGTGTATATATATATTTATTTATCTTATGCAAAGGAATACTTCCATCACGGGACTAACCCAGAACAATAAAATCAACTCTTATCAATTTCTATATGATTCTTACCACAACTGGTAATATCTTTTATCCATTTATTTGTAAATGAATGTCAGTGCTTTAAATTTTGATTAATAACATTTCTTGCCTCCACACATATGTTCATATTGGACAATGCTTGACCCTCTTGTTCGTTATACATTAATTTATATTAGTTTAATGAATCTATCATTGATCCATTGATAATAATAAATATCAATCTATGGAATCAATACATGGATATTATCTATATATTCCTGACATTTCTCTGTAACTCAATTTCAACAGACAGAACAGACTAATTATGTGTTGTGTTGGACCTCAGAGTTTCAGACACATGTAATTCATCGTCCATAACTCCAATGCCACCATTTGTCATCATTGGTCCATGATTGGGTCTCCTCTCCTTCATGTGTTCCTACATTTTTATCAATTAAATGATCATATTAATGACATTAATAAAAACAAATACATGGTTCATGCAAAGCCAACAACAAGGACTTTGAATATCTATAACATCTACAGAGTCACTTTCAACATAGACTAGATCTCTTTCATTTATTGACCTCAGTGTTGCACATGATAAATTAAACAACATACTGTTTCAGGTCATACTCATCACAGAGCTGTGGTTAACTGTGTATTAATTTAATACTTTTTAATTTTTTGATTGACAGATAAAATTGTATGTATTTATCATGCACAACATGATGTTCTGAAGTATATATACATTATGGAATAACTTAGATATGGAATCTATCTAACTGACATATGTATTACATCTCATAGTTATCATTTTGTGGTGAGAATACTTAACAGCTACTCTTTAGCATTTTTCAAGAATATGACATATAACATTAACTACAATCACCATGTTGTATAATATTTCTCTTCAGCGTATCTCTCCTCTCTAACTGAATAATTTAATACATTTTATAATAATACCAAGAATATCCTCAAACAAATTGTTGAAACCAAGATAAGAACTTTGACTATAATTCACCTTGGTCTCTTCCCAAACACAGAGGCAACACAACAATCTTGATTCCAACAGAATGGCTGAAACAGCTTGCTGCATCCATTCTGAAGAGTAGAAAGCACAGAAAAACATTGAGATGTTCTCTCCATTAATCCATGTTGTTTACCATTTGTTAGCACTGCCTTTTAGGCTTTTACTAATTTATGCTAATATTTATATATTTTTCACATAATAAACTTCAAAACTTGCAACTGACAGCAAGAACTGTGTCATCCTTAGTTCAAGACATAATATCCTTGATCAACTTATTACTCATTCCATTTCTATTAATATTCATTTTCCTTACTCTGAAGTTTAGTAACAAACAATGCTTCACCCTCTTCATCTCTATTAATTTATACATTTGTTTATTTATTCTGTCCTTGATTCGTTTACAATAATATTTTTAAAATTCATGAACAAAAATATCAACAACAACATCCTCATAGATTCTGACATCTGTGCATAAGATCCCTTCGAAATGGGAATGGATTAGATGCCATTTGTGTTGGACCTCAGAGTTCCAGATACATGGTATTCATTATGCATGACTCACACCAGTTGTCATCATTGGTCCAGGATCTCTTTGATTTCACACTAATACAAATTTATCCATTGATTAATTCATTAATAATAAATACACATCAGTCAGAAAACACAAGAATAGTATTCATAAAGATTCCTAACATTCATCTATAGATTCATTTCCACAGACTAAATCTCTTCATACTATCTTCCATGGTAATGATCTTCTTTGGTCCATATATTGACCAATCACTATAATACGTCTATCAATCTGATAGTAAAATTGGCATGTTTGGGCCTCTTTGGTTATATTTAACACATTTTAATAACATAGGAAATATCTTTTTTAAAAAGCTACACCAACAAAGACAGGAACATTGACTATTACTCATATTGGCCTTCATACTCCAAAACGAGATGCAACCAACATGCTGGTGAGCAGGGATGAGAGACTGAATCACCTCTAAAGCATCTATTCTGAGGAGTACAGAGCAAAACAGATGATTAAAAAATGAGAAAATCCTCCATTGATCCTTGCTTATCATCTTCCATTTAGTCATTAATTCAGGCAATCATTACTTGGAGTATATTTATTTCCTTTTCTCTTAAAATGAACAATTTTGAACCTGCCACTGACCCAGAACAAAAACATTACCTAATTAATACTGTCCATATCATCCTTTGCCAAAATAAACCATTATGCACCATTTACTTCTCTTTGGATTTTGGTGTTTTCTACACATATTAACAAAATTCCTTGCCTCATTACAAATTTTTATAATTAGACGTTTCCCCCATTTTACCTTGATTCATTTATATATTTGTTTACTGATTCTTTCATTGACCCAGTCATAATAATAACATAAGAAAGAATGAACAAAAAGACCCAATTTCTTTTGTGAAGGACCTCAGAGTTCCAGACACATAATTCATCATGTATGACTCATACACCACCAGTGGTCATCATCGATCCAGGATTGGGCCTCCTTTTCTCCATTCATTTCTATGTTGTCTGTTGACTTAATCATTAGTTCACTAACAATAAATCAAAACCCTATGATTCACAAAATCCCAAGAACAGCCTTGATATTCTTAATCTGTACATATTATCATCTCATCTCCATGTATCTCCTGCTTTAATTATCCTCAGCTTTTCACACATGTATTAATCAATATAATGCTTCATATGTGTCATTTGTAACAGCGGGCCTTATGTGACTATATTTCATACTTTTTAGTAATGCAGTGAATACCTTAAACCACCTAAACCACACCAAGAACTTTGACTATTACTCACATTGATCTCTAAGCTCTAACGCAGAGATGCAACCATAAGGCTGGTGGCCACGGAAGACTGCATAAATCACCTCGAGATTATCACTCTGAGGAGTACAAAAGAAAAGAAGATGATTTTTTTTAAATTAGATATTCCTCCACTGATCCTTGCTTATTGAGGTGTTTTGTATGTTGGACCTCAGAGTTCTACACACGTATTATTCATCACCCAACACTCATACGCCGGCAATTGTCATCATTGGTCCAGGAAGGCCCACTTTCTCTTCATTCTTTACAACATTGTTTATTGATTAATTCATAAATTCACCAATAATATTTTTTAAAGCTGATGATTCACAAACCTCCAACAAAAGCATACCTATTTGTTAGGTATCCATCATTATTCACAAATCAGTATTTAAATTTTATTATTTATCCTCAGTTTTTCATATATGCATTAATCAGTATAATGATTCATGTTAATCCCAAATCATGATGTTTACATTAGGCCTTTTGTGATTATATTTCACACTTTTTAAAATATAGTGAACATCCTTAAACAAATCACCCAAGCCATGACAAAAATTTTGACTCTTACTCACATTGGTCTCCAAGCTCTTAATAGAGATTCAATCATACAGTCATAACCATGGAAGAATTCTTAAATCAGCTCAGATGGGTCCAGTGTGAGAAATACAGGACAGAACAGATGATTTTAAAACGAAGAAGGAGAACAGACATCTGGGACGTTCTCTCCACTGATCCTTGCTTTTCACCTTCAGTCAGTCATTTCAGTAATCACACATTTCGAGTATTTTTTTCTCTTAAGAGAATGAACAAATTCAAAATCGCCATCTGTCCAGAACATGAACAGTGTCTGTAACTTATACCATCTACACCATTCTGAACTAAGGAGGTAAAAGTCATGTAAAATTATTTCAAATTAGAGTTCAGTGTTTTCATAATATATTAGTAGTGTTTCTTTGCTCACTACATATTTTTAATTTGAACAATGCTTCATTAATTTACTTATTGATTGGTTATTTCATTGATCCAATTATAATACTAGAATGAAAATATATGAACCCAAAGATCAAGCGCAAGATCCTTGGATATTCTCAACATGGGCCTAGAGGATGCCTTATATCAAGAATATAGACTATATGTCTTTTGTGTTGGACATCAAAGTCCAGACATGTCTAACTCATTGTATATGGCTCACGCCATCATTGGTCTCAATTTTCATATATTTCTACTTTTGTTTTGAATAAATCATTAATCAATTTATAAGAGTAAAATAAGAACATGATTCACAAAAACCTATGAACATGATGCCAGACATACCAAGCGTCTGTCTACAGAATCCTTTCCACATTAGACAATGTCACTTTCATTCATTCACCTCTATGTGGCACATTATTGATTAATAAACATACTGTTCTATATTATGTTAACCATTGGGCCATGGTTAACTTTATAATAATTTAAAATTTTTAATAATACTATGAATACCTTTAGTCAAGTACCCAAAGGAAGACCAAAATTTTGGCTATTACTCACGTTAGTTTCTTTCCAAACACAACAGCAATACACCTTTCCATCAAGCAGAATGCTTAAGCCCACTTGATGCATTCATTCTGATCCATCTTCATACAAAGCAGAGAAGATGATAAAAGATTGAGAATTTCTCTCCACTGACTGATATATTCCACTATTCGTTTGTGTTATCTTTTTGGTTTTTAAAAATTTATGGGGCCAGGCACAGTGGCTCACGCCTGTAATCCCAGCACTCTGGGAGGCTGAGGTGGGTGGATCACCTGAGGTCAGGAGCTCAAGATCAGCCTGGCCAACATGGTGAAACCCCATCTGTACTAAATATACAAAAATTAGCCAGGAGTGGTGGCGGGCGCCTGTAATCCCAGCTACCTGGGAGTCTGAGACAGGGGAATCACTTGAACCTAGCAGGCTGAGGGTGCAGCGAGCCAAAATTGTGCCACTGCAGACCAACCTGGGTGACAAGAGCCAAACTCTGTCTCAAAGTAATAATGATAATAATAATAATAATTTATAGAAATATTTGCTTATTTTTCTCTCAATAAAATGAACTTCAAATGTGTAACTGACTGAGAGTAATAACTATTATTCATCACAGTTGATGTCATCTTTAGTCCAAGACATAATAAATTCCATCCATATATTATCCATTCTAACTTACACCAATAATCCATTTTCTTTATTACATATTTTAGCAATAAACAACGCTTCACTCTCTTCATTTCTATTCGTTTATACATTCATTTATTTATCCTGCCCTTGATTCTTTTAAAATAGTATTTTTTAAATACTAACACAAAAATCCTGAAAAAGATCCTTGCATATCCTGATACCTGTCCATTGGATCCCTTCACAAAGGATGAATGGACTAGATCCCATTTGTGTTGGACCTCAGAATTCTAGAAACATGGTATTCATGTGCATAACTCATACGCCACCAGTGGTCATCATTGGTCCAGATCAGCCCTCTTTCTCTATTCCCATCTAAATTTATTTACTGATTAATATATTAACAAAGAAATACACAGAAATCTGAAAAGAAAAATAAGAATTAGATTCTGAATATCCCTAACATCCATCTATATAATCCTTTCCACAGAGACCAAATTTCTTTCATTAACTGAGCTGTTGCATAAATGCATTACTCAGTATAATGCTTCATATCAATCTGATATTTAACATAGACAGACTTCCCTTATTTGATTATATTTAAAACTCTAAAATAATGCAGCAAATACCATTCTAAAAACTGCTGGATTTGGTATAACAATATTAATTACTACTCACATTGGTCTGTATGCGCCTAACACACAGAGGCAACCACAAAGATCATGACCATAGAAGAGTGCTTGAATCAACTCAAGTGCTTTCATTCTGAGGATCACAGAGCAGAGCAGATGATTTTAAAAGGTTGTAACATTCTTTCCACTGGTCCTTCAATTCCTCTTTTCAGGTATTCAGTCATACATAATTAGTAATTTGTAATAATGTTTATTTTTCTCCTATGTAGGCTAACAATGTCAATCTTGCCACTGACCCAGAAAATGAACACAGATATTTACCTATTACTGTCTACATCATACTTAGCCAAAGATTTAACAATCATGTACCATTTATTTCTCTTTGAAGTTCAGAGTTTCCAGTATATATTAATATTATTTCTTGCCACATCATCTATTTTTATAATTGGACAATGCTTCACACGAGTCATCTTTATTTAGTTATATATTTGTTCATTGATTCTTTTATTGATCCAATTATAATAACAGAGTGAAAATACATGAGCAGAAAAAACTGGCTTTCTTTTGTGTTGGACCTCGGAGTTCTAGACATGTATTATTCATCATCCAAGACTCATACGCCAGTATTTATCATCATTGGTCCAGGAAGGGCCCACTTTCTCTTCATTCAGTTAGACATTATTCGTTGATTAATTCAGTAATTCATGTGTAATAATTATAAAAATTTATGGTTCCCATAATTCAAGTCTATAATTGACATTCATTATATATATATACATATTATCTGACTTTTTAAAATTTTCAATAACACAGTAAATATCCTTAAACAAACCACCCAAACAACACAAGATCGTGGCTATTACTCACACTGGAATCTTTCATAGCACGACAGCAACACAAGTCTTGATCAGGGCTAAATTCATAATCAGCTCAGTGCATCCATTCTGAAGGGTGCAAAGCAGAGAAGACAATCAAAATATTGAGACATTCTTTCCATCAATCCATACACTTCACCATTCATTTACATTGTCACTTTGGCTTTTATTAATTAACGGTAATAGTTATTAATAAAATAGACTTCAAGGCTGCAACAAATTGAAAGTAATAACTATAACCTATCACAATCTATGTTATTTTTGGTCCAAGACATAATACCTTTCATCCATGCCTATATTATCCATTCCAATTTAAATTAAAATACATTTTTCTTGGTACATATTTTAGTAATAAACAATGCTTCACCTCATCTTCTTCATTTACACACTGATTTATTCATCCTGCCTTTGATTCTTTTACAATGATATTTTTTAAATTCATGAGCACAAAGATCATGAAGAAGATCCTTGTATATCCTGTATCCTGACATCTGTTTATAAGGGGGAATGGACAAGATCCCATTGTATTGGACCTCAGAGTTCCCAACACATGATATTCACTGTGCATGACTCACACACCACCAGTCGCCATCACTGGTCCAGGATCAGCCCTCTTTCTCTATTACCATCTTAATTTGTTTGTTGACTAATTCACTAACAAGGAAATACACATAAGTCTTCAAAAAGAGAATAAGATTCCTGAATATTCCTAGCATTCATTCATATAATCATTTCCACAAAGACCATATTTCTTTCATTAACTGAGCTCAATGTTTCACATATGCATTAATTAACCTAAAGTTTTTAACCTAATTTTTAATTATTGCATATTTCACCTTCTTTTATTGTGTTTAATACTTTTTAATAATATAGCAAATAACATTTTTAAATGGTCAAAACAAGAAGGAGCTTGACTATTACTCACATTGGTCTTCATGCTCCTAACATAGATGCAGCTGTAGAGCTTGTAACCATGGAATCGGCTGGCAAACATCCATCCTGAGGCCACAATGCAGAGCACATCACAAACAGATTAAACAGTCCTCCTTGATCTGTGTTTATCATCTTCCCTTTAGGAAGATATTTGAGAAATCATTATCTGAAGGATACTTATTTCATTTTCTCTTAAGAAAATGAACACCTTGTGCAACTTTCCTTGACCCTGAGGTTGACCATTATCTATAAATGCCATCTGTATCATCCTTAGTCAAAGAAGTTACAGAGGTGTAACATTTATTTCTCTTGGGACTTCAGTGCTTTAATATAATATTTTAATATATTATATTTAATGTATATTAAATATTGCATTTATTATGCATTAATATTAGATATTTATTTAATATATTAAAGCTTTAATATAATGCTTTAATATAATAATAATAATACATCTTGCCTCACCATTTATTTTATAATTGGACAATACTTCATCCCCTTCATATATGTACATGTATATGTATAAATTAGTTCATTGATCCAATTATAATAATACAATGAAGTGAACAAATCCAAAGACCAAAAGCAAACACATTGCATATTCATAGGATCATCTGAATCAAAAGGAATGGGCCAGATTTCTTTTGTGATGGACCTCAGAGTTCCAGATATGTATTCATCATATATAACTCATACACTACCAGTAGTCATCACTGACTCAGGGTCGATCTTTTTTTGCTATTCATTTCTACCTTGTCTATTGATTAAGTCATTCATTCACTAATAATACTTTCAAGGCCCATGATTCACAAAACTCAGTAACACTCTTGATACTCCACATCGGTATACAGAATCACTCAAACACTGGTGTGTTTCATTAACTATCCTGTTTTATGTATATGCATCATCAATATAATACTTCATGTCACTCCTGTGTCACTGGAATAACATTGGCCATCTTTGACTGTATTTCACGCTTTTAAATAATACGTTGATTACTCTTAAACAAACCACCCAAACCAAGGTAAGGACTTTGACTATTATTCACATTGGTCTGCACGCTGCTTCCTAAGCATGGTGCAAACAGAGTACATGACCTTGGAGGCATCCTCAAATTAGAACAAGGACATCCATTCTGATGAGTACAGAGAAGATGATAACAAATTTGAGACATTGTCACCATTGATTCTTGCTTTTCACCTATAATTAGTCATTTATGCAATCATTATTTGGATTTCATATTAATTTCATTGTCTGTTAAGAAAATTTCATTTCATTAATCGTAGTAATTTCATTTTCTGTTAAGAAAATTAACAAATTCGATCTTGCTACTGGCCAAGAATTTGAACACTGTCTATAATTATACTGGCTATATCATCATTGGCCAAAGAGGTGACAGGCATGTCCCATTTATTTCTCTTTGGACTCCATGTTTTCAATACATATGAAATGTTTCTTGCCTCACTATAGATTTTAATAATTGGGCAATGATTAACATTATTCATCTTTTTATGTAATATATGGAAATTACATATATATATAGGTTCTCACATTGAGCAACTATAAAAATACAATGAAAATAAGTAAAAACAAAGACCAAAAACAAATAAATTCTGTATCTCTGACATCTATATACATAGGATCATTTCAAACTACAGAAGGAGCTCAGTTTCTTTTGTGATGGACCTCAGAGTTCCAGACACGTATTCATCATGTAAGACTCATACGCCACCAGCAGTCATCATCGATCCAGGACTGATCATCTCCTTTTCCACTCATTTCTATCTTGTCTACTGACTGACTTGTTAACTCACTAATAAGTCCCTATGATTAAAAAAAAAAAAAACCAAGAATAACCTGGATATTCCATATATGTATGTAGAATCATTCTAACATTGATATAATTGTCCTCAGTTTTTCATCTATGCATTATCAATATAATACTTTACATAACTCTCATATCTATCTTTGGGATAACATTGGCCATCTTTGTATCATAAACTTTTTTTTTTTTTTTTTTTGAGACGGAGTCTCACTCTGTTGCCCAGGCTGGAGTGCAATAACGCAATCTCAGCTCACTGCAACCTCCTCCTCCCGGGTTCAAGTGATTCTCTTCCCTCAGCCTCCTGAGTAGCTGGAATTACAGGCCACCATACCCAGCTGATTTTTGTATTTTTAGTAGAGGCAGGGTTTCACCATGTTGGCCAAGCTGATCTCAAACTCCTGACCTCAGGTGATTCACCCGCCTCGGCCTCCCAAAGTGCTTGGATTACAGGTGTGAGTCACCACGCTCAGCCTATTACAAACTTTTTTATAATACCTGACATACTCCTCAACAAACCACCAAGACAAGAACTTTGATCATTAATCACCTGGGTCCGCATGCTCCTTCCTAAGCATGGTGCAAACAGAGGACCATGGAAGAATTCTTAAAACAGTACAATTAGGTTCATTCTGAGGAGTACAGAGCAGAGAAGATGATAACAAATTTGAGACATTATCACCATTGATCTTTGCCTTTCACCTTTCATTTAGTTGGTCATTTAGGCAGTAATTATCTGGGTATATTTATTTCATTTTCTCTTAAGAAAATGAACAATTTTGAACTTGCCACTAATCAAAAAATTGAACATTGTCTATAATTATACTATCTATGTCATCATTGGCCAAAGAGGTGACAGGCATGTGCCATTTATTTCTCTTTGGACTTCACTGTTTTCAATACATATTAATAATATATCCTGCCATACCTGAACAATGCTTCATCTACCTTATCTTTATTTATATATTTGTTTATTGATTCTCACATTGATCCAATTATAAAAATAGAATGAAATTATCACAAAGAAAAACATTTCTGAAACATTTATGTAGCATAATTTGAAAGAGAGAATGGGCCATGTATCTTCCCCAACAGACCTCAGAGTTTCAAACACGTATTCACTATATAAGACTCATATGCCACATAAGATTCATACGCCACTAGTGGTCATCACATCATTGATCCAGGACTCGTTCTCTTTTTCTCCACTCACTTCCACATTATCCATTGATTAGTTAATTCATTCACTAATAATTTTAAAGCCCTATATTCACAAAACTCAAGGAGATCCTTGATATTTCTAGTCCGTATATAAAGTCATCTTACATCAACGTATCTCCTTTATTAATTATCTTCAGTTTTTCATATATCCATTAATTTATATAGTGCTTTATATCAATTTTGTCACTGCACAACAATTGGTCTTCTCTGATCATATTTCACTCTTTTCAATAATACGGTGAGTGAATAATACCCTTAAGCAAACAACCCACACCAAAATGCAAACTTTGATTATTACTCACATTGGTCTCCATGCTCCTAATGCCCCGTGGCAACCATAGGGCTTGTGACCATGGAAGCATGCTTAAATCAGTTTAAGAGCATCCATTCTAGGATTACAAAGCAGAACATGTGATAAAAAAATTAAGACCTTATCTGCATTTATCCCTCTTTTCCAAATTTCATTTACTTATTTATTAATTTTTCATTATATATTTGTATTCTTTCTCTCTGTCTCAACAACAGGAACAATGTCAAACTTGCAACCAACCCAGAAAATAAAACTTGATTGATACAGAAAGACTCAATGTTTTATATACATCAAAGAACATAATATACATCAATCCCAACTTCATTACTGGGGTGCATTTGGCCCTGTTTGATTATATTTCAAATGCCATTATAAAATGAATACCCTGAGATAAACCACGCAAACCGAGACAAAATGTGATTGTTACTCACATTGGTCTCCATGCTCCTACTGCAGACAGCTTCCACCTTTAGGAATACAAAGGAGAACCAGTGATTAAAAAATTGAGACATTCTCTCCATTGACAATGGCTTTCAAACTTTCATTTATTTAGTCACATAAATATTTACTAATTGATGTTATTATTTGTCTTTTCTAAAAATAGGACAGGATGGTACTTGCCATTGATGCAGAACAATAACATTAACTGTTACTTCTCACTGTCTACACCAGTGGTCCCCAACATTTTGGGCACCCAGGATGGGTTTTGTAGAAGACAAACTTTCCATGGACCAGGCCAGGGAGGGGTTGTTTCCAGATGAAACTGTTCTACCTCAGATCATAGGAATTAGATTCTCATAAGTAGCATGTGACCTAGATCCCTGGCATGCACCGTTCACAACAGGTTCTGCTCCTACGAGAATCTAATTTATGCCACTACTGATCTGACAAGAGGTGGAGCTCAGGTGGTAATGCTTGCTCGCCCGCCACTCACCTCCTGCTGTGTGGCCTGGTTCCTAACACGCCAGGCACTGGTACTGGTCTGCAGCCCTGAGGTCAGGGACCCCTGGTCTATATGATACTGTACCAAAGAGGTGACACTTATTTACTTATGGACCTTAGGACTTTCAAATTATATTAATAGTATTTCAGTCCTCACCTCATATTTCATAATTGGACAATGTTTCACCGTCTTCATCTTCACGCAGTTGTATAAACTTTGTCATTAATTGTTTTGTAACAATACAATCAAAATTCATAAACTACAAAAGCCCAAGAACATCACCTTCGTGCATAACTAATCATTCTACAGGACTACATCCATCAAAAATAACAGACTAGATCTCTGTCTAGGTACTAACCTCAGAGTTTCAGGCATGTATTTATTCATCATCTGTGACTAAATATGCCACCAGCCATCACCACTGGTTCAGGATTTGACATCTTTTTCCTCATCCATTTCTATATTTGTTGATCTATTAGTTCTTCAATAGAATAATTACAATCATATAAATGTGTATGAATCACAAATTCCATAGAACAATATTCTTAAATATCCATAACAATTGTCTACAGAGTAAATTCACTCAGTATCTATAACCTTCATTAATTAATTTGTGTTGTACATATCCATTAATGAACATACATTTCACATCAATGCCATAGTACACCATCATCAACTTCTTTGACTAATCTTAACATGTTTTGTAAATAGTACAGTGAGTATTTTTAAACAAATCACTCATAATAAGAGAAGTGCTTTGACTCTTACATTGGTTTCTATGCTCCTAACACAGAGTTCATGACCACAGGAGAATGTGCTAGGAGCTTTCATTCTGAGAAATATAAGCGATGCAAATAATAGAAAGCTGAGATATTCTTTCCACTGATACATGCCTTCCCCATTTCATTTCCTCAGTCATTTAGATATTTATTATTTTATGGCATAATTTATTTTTTTCCCTCTGCAGTAAGTAACCACTTGAACTTGTCACAGACTCAAAGCAAGCACCCTGACTACTATACATCACTACCTTGCCTACTTATCCTTATCCCAAAATGTAACCCCTTTCATGCATTAAGGGGTTACATTTTGGGGTAAAGATATCATTATTTAATGAACTCCAGTGGTTCTACGTATATTAACAATAATTCTTGCCTCACCCCATATTTTCGTAGTTAGATACACTTCATTCTATTCATTGTTATACATTGACATATTTGTTTATTCTTTCACTTATTGAATAACAACAAAATCAAAATCCATGAAGCACCAAGGACTGAGAACCTGATTCCTGAATATCACTGAAATCTATCTGTAGGCATTCCTACAGATGTAAACACTGAAATCCCTCTTTGTAGTGGACCGCTGTAGGTCACAGATACTTTGATCATAAAACACATTTCAGAATGTATTCCACTCGCATTATCGGTCCTTTCCTTGGCCTTCTCTCACATAATGTGTATATTCTTTCTATATATAACATGAATCAACCACCAGAACTAAAACACTGACAAGTGCTTCTAGTTCCTGTGTGTCCCTTCTTCATAACTTACATTTTTATCACTTGAGGAATGCTTAGGGAAACCTGCAGTAGAATTCTAAACAGTTAGAACAATTTATGATAGGGACTTGATCTTTTTTAGAAACCATCCTAAATAACACTAAATCAAATTAATCCTAAATTTTGGTTCTTCGTCGTTAGTATAGGCTTGTTCTTGTTTGATTTTATTCATGTATATAATCATTTACTCATTTTAAAGATGTACAATGAACACCCATGAAAACCCACTCAACAGACAAAGACTGTGCCAATTCCATTGATCTCTAATCTCCTAAAATGTAGCAGTATCCTAGAAAGCCTGGTCTTTTCAGAATGCTTAAATCACCTAAGGTGCATCCATTTTGTACAATATAACAATGATATTACATAAATTAGACATTTTCTCCATTGAGCCATGTTGTTCCCCTTTCATTTACTTAGACTTTTAAATATTAACTGGGCGGGGCGCAGTGGCTCATGCCTGTAATTCCAGCATTTTGGGAGGCCGAGGTGGGCAGATCACTTGAGGTCAGGAGTTCAAGACCAACCTGACCAACATGGTGAAACCCCGTCTATACTAAAAATACAAAAATTAGCCAGACATAGTGGCACACGCCTGTAATCACAGCTACTCAGGAAGCGGAGGCATGAGAATTGCTTGAACCTGGGAGGCGGAGGTTGCAGTGAGCTGAGATCATGTCACTGTACTCTGGCCTGGGAAACAAACAGAGTGAAACTCCATCTCAAATATAAATAAATAAATAAATAAATAAATAAATAAATAAATAAATATTAATTGCTTAATTAATTAATGACCTTCTCTTTCTCAATAAAATAAACAAACTGGAAATTACCACTGACATAGAGCAAAGACTCTATGTATGAAATGTATTTCATACATTTTTCTCAGTGATTCTGAAAATACTTCTCAGGAGGCAGCATCAGCATGACTTGGGAAACTATTGGAACCTATAGAAAGTAAGTTATTAGAAATTTGGATTCTCAGAACCCACACCAAACTTACTGAATCAGAAATCCTGGGAATGTAACTGGCCTTCTGTGTCTTCACAAACCCTCCAGGTCACTTCAATACTCACATTTGAGAACCACTACTCTATATTACCCTACCCTAGACAGGTGACACCCTTGATGTACTGGTTTCTTAATGCATTGCAGTGTTTCAGAATTATATAACCAAAAATTCCTGTCTGGTAACATTTTTTGTAATTAATCCAGCTTTATCCTCTTCATCTTTAATTATTTATATGTGTGTCTGTATGTTTTGCTGATTCTTTCATTCATTTCCTTCGAATAATGCAATAAATTCCCAGGATCTACCAAAACCCCATAATTAGATACTTGAAAATTACTGAAATCTACTATAGACTTATTCTCACAGATGTAATGCCCAAGTGTTCAATCTATGACCCAGTGTCCCCCTCATAGAAAACTTGTTTATACAGGCAGACACCCTGGAGGCTCTTGTCTGTGTCCAGTGTATTCCTACCAAGACAGGCACGCTCTAGGAGAGACCCAATCTGGAAATAAGTTAGGTCTAGGTGTGTTGGTCAGGTGAGACACAGAAGAAATAACTTAACAAATCACATGCAATAACAGGAGCAGTGTGCTACCCACAAGTCCCAGAGAACAGACGGCAGCATGCCTCGCAGGGCCAGTGGGCAGGGAGGACATTCATTAAAGATACTTCAAACTTCTTAATAACACAGTGAGGAAGCAAACCACTTGAACCATAGCAAGAACTTTAACAGCTAATTACATTTTTTTTTGGTTTTTTGTTTGTTTGTTTGTTTGTTTTTGAGATGGAGTTTCACTCTTGTTGCCCAGACTGGGGTGCAATGGCACAATCTCAGCTCACCGCAACCTCCGCCTCTCAGGTCCAAGAGGTTCTCCTGCCTCAGCCTCCTGAGTAGCTGGGATTACAGGCATGTGCCACCACTTCCAGCTAATTTTATAATTTTAGTAGAGATGCGGTTTCTCCATGTTGGTCAGGCAGGTCTTGAACTCCCAGCCTCAGGTGATCCACCCACCTGATCCTCCCAAAGTGCTAGGATTACAGGCATGAGCCACCACGCCTGGCCACATTGGTCTTTACTCTCCTGACAAAGTTAATAAAGACAATCACAATCATGATGTCCTTTCTGTGGAATATAGGATAGGTGTGAAAACCATGAGACAATCACTCCACTGACCTCATGCCACCCTCGTTTCATTTTCTAAGACATTGACATATGGATTAGCTAATATAATAATTACTTTCTTACTTTTAATTAAGCAAAAAACCTAGACTATCACTAATCAAATTCAAGAACCTTGACTATTATGTACATATTCCTAAATCATCCTTCAGATACTCTGTTTATTTTTTAATAAATACTAGTTTTCAGAATTACATTAACAAATTTTTTCCATCATAATCTATTTGGACAATTAGTCCAGTTCTGTCCTTTTCCTCTTTATTCATTTATTTATGTGTTTATTGATGTTACCATTGATGCATTATAATCAACCCAACAAAACCCCAGAAATCAGTTCTTGGATTATTACTGAAATATGTCTGCAGACAAATTCCTGTAGATTTAACATACCAAATCTCCTTTTTAAATAAATTGCAGGGGTGCAGAAATGAATTTAATCATAAAACTGATCAATCAATCTATTCATATCACTGATTGGTGCTTGGCCTTTTCTTCATTTAATATGTACATACTTTTAAGATGGAACAATGAACAACCATCAATTCACCACCGCATTCACATCTAAAACCCTGATAATGACTTACGAAAACACAACTGCCTAAATTGTAAGCCTTGGATCTAACCCATAGATTGTTATCCATCAAGGAATGTTGCATAAACAGGAGTAAAACCTAAAACAGAACAATATATAGCCATGAAAAGAGAATGGAAAACACTGATCTCTTTTTAAATTGTGCTCCATTGTACTAAAATGGATTAAGTTATAATCCCTGCTTCAAAACACATCCTCATAAGTAGTCCATGCTTAGCTTCCTCTCATTTCCTTACCTATGTTTTGATTTATGTATTTATATAATGTTTTCAATTTACTAAAAGAGAAAATAAAAACAAGTATAAACTAAAAAGCTCCAGAAATAAAGACAATGAGTATTCACATATGTGTATATGCAGGTTACTGACTTGGGTCACAAGCTTTGTCTATTTTTACTAATGGATCATAACATTTGAGACATGTCATAATAATTCTTCTTCCAGTAAATACCCTCAAAATGAGACCACACTTAGACATATTTATCTACATTAATTTACATGATGTTTTTGCATACTGATCCACTGATAATAAAATTAGTATGTGTTAACAATCCACCAAAGCCCCTAAACAAGTTTCTTGAATAGTCTTACTATCTGTCAGTGGGTTCATTTCCAAGAGAGGTAATAAACAATCTAATAGACTAGGTCTTTTTTTGTAATGAACTATAAAAATGTTGTGAAATATAATAATATATACATTTGTCCAGATTTGATTTGTTATGTCATTGGTCCATGCTTGAACCTTTTTGTTTAAATTATATATTCTATGAAGATGTAACAATAAACTGGAAGAATAATCCACTATGGGTCTAATCCATAGACCCTACTATGATAATGACAAGTATTTACTTCACATATGCTCTTCCTCAGGGGGTTAACAGACTAGGCTATCTAGCAATATAGGAACGTTTGTGTAAACTATGAAAAATGCTAAAATTGAATATCAAAAATGTCCCATTTTTAGTTTATCCATAAAATGACTAAAATGACATCAATCTTTATCTTTTCAAAATTGTCCACAGTTGTACTGAATTAGATTAATTATAATCCTTAGTTTATAACAGATTCTCACCTTTTGTCTCCTTTGATTTTATTTAGGTATGTGGCCATTTATCTACCTTTTATAGTACTATGAATATCAATGAACAGGCAAACTACCCAATCAAAAACAAGAATGTCAACTATGACTTATGTAAGAACGCACTCCTTGTCCCCTGTGAAACAGTCAATACCACCGTCGCTACAGGATGATCAATCACCCATGAACATCAACCCTGAGAAGTACAAAGTAAATGTTAAAGGTATGAAACAACAAGATTCAGGCTGTGTCTGAATAAATATGAAATGATAAGGGTTGGGTTCATCTCAAACATTGGTTCGTAACACTCCCTATCCTTAAATTAGATTCACTCTCCTTTTATTTATTGAATTATTTCAGTTATTAATTTTACATCAAATAGTGAACATTCTTGAATCCATCACCTGCATTAAGAAAAACATCTGACTATGGGACATATTGGCCTCAGTGCCTCCACTCACACATATAATCGTCTTGGTATTCTCTGCAAGTTAGCTTCGACTTACAGAATCAGCTACTTCTGATTCCTGGCTTTATAACACATTCTCATGAGTGGTCAGTTCTTGACCTTTTTATCTATTAACTCATTCATTATTAGTATAAATGAGTTTATAATTCAGGAACAAATGAATTAATTTTTCCAACCATCTATTCTTTTGCAAGAAAATGAGTAATATTTTCATTTTCAGAAATCTAGAAGAGAAATGCCTAGCCGATCTTAATAAAAGTAGTAAAATCCAAAATTTTGTTTCTAAATCAGAGCAACTTTATAGGGGACATACTTAGTCTATACTTGGTTCCATTTTCTTCATGTATTCATACATTTCTTTGGTTATTTGCACACTAACCAACTTATGAAGATATAATCAATAGCTATGAAACACAATCAGATCTTTGCTATTTCTTATATATATACATCAGTTACATCATAGGGAGCAAACTAGTTTTCATGTTGGACCTCAAAGTTCCAGACACAGGTATTTATTGTTCATGATTCATACATCACCAAACTTCATCTTTGGTCCAGACTTGGAGCTCTTTTTCTTCATTCATGTCTTCATTTATTGATAGATGAATTCATCAACTCACTAATAAAAATAAGTAAATACCAAAGAGTCAGAAGAACTGAAGAGCAAGATTCTTGAATATCTAATATCTGTCTACAAATTATTTCCCATAGACACTAGATATATTTTATTAATTTAACACAGTGTTTCACATACAGATTAATCAACAAAATACATTACACCAATTCCATTCTTAAGATATTAACTGATTATATGTCAAAGTGTATAATAACACAGTGATAGCTCTTAAAAAAACACTCAAACCAAGACAAGAATATTGACTCATACTCACATTGGTCTCCAGGAACCTACACAGAGGCAACCATATGTCTTTTGACTATGAGAGAATTCTTAAATCAGCGCCAGTGCATCCTGTCTAAGAAGTACAAAGCAAAGCAGCTGATTTTCAAAACTAATACCTCTTTGTCAATTTTGCTTTCCATATTCTATTCCAAACCATAGTTTAGTTATTTATTAACTTTTCATAACATATATGTTCATTCTGAACAAAACAAACAACCTCAAATGGACTGATTCAAGCAATAAAATTGACTCCTACTTCCCAGCATCTATATGATCACTAATCAAAAGGAGGTAACACCCTTGGGCCCATTTCGTTCTGAGATGGAGTTTTGCTCTTGTTGCCCAGGCTGGAGTGCAATGGTGCAATCTTGGCTCACTGCAACCTCCACCTCCTGAGTTCAAGTGATTCTCCTGCCTCAGCCTCCCGAGTAGCTGGCATTACAGGCGTGCACCACCACGTCTGGCTAATTTTTTGGATTTTTAGTAGAGACAGGATTTCACCACATTGGGAGCTAGTGTTTCATTTTATGTTGATAGTATATCTTGAATCATCACATGGTTGAAGTCCATCACACCATCTTCATACTTGTCGAATTACATATTTAATACTTTCATCATGGATCAATTTTAAATAATAATAATATGTAAATCCATGAATCCAAAATAAAAGAAGTAGATTCTTACATATCCTTAACATCAATCTATCATTTCAAACATTGATCGTCATTTGCAAATGACCCTGGGAAATAGATCAGATTTTGTTTTCTGCAAACCTTTAGGTTCCAGACACATATTATTCATCACCCACGACTTCTAAACCATCAAACATTGGTTCAGGTTTACATGTCTTTTTCCTCATACAACTTTATATTTGCTTATTGATTAATTCTCAATTCATCAAACATAATAAAACAATTATCTGTGAATCAAAAAATCTCCAAGAGATTCTTATATCCCTAACATCTATCTATGGAATCATGTCATTCATGTCATAGATGATGAATATATGTCTGGAACTCTGAGGTCCAAGAAGTTAACCTCTACTTGTATTTTTATCTGTTTATATTTGTTTAATGGTTCTATCAGTCATATATTAGTAATAATAAACCTAAATCTATGACCCCAAGATAAGAAAATGATCTTTGTATGTTTCTGACATTGTCTACAGGATCATTTCCAACAGAAGCAAAAACCTAGATTATTTTCTTCTCATATTCATCATCCATGACTTTTATGCCACCAGTTGTCAACACTGATCCATAGCTGGGTCTCTCTTTCATCATTCATTTCTAAATATTTATTGAATAAATCATTTGTTCTTTGATAATAAAATGAATACACGATTTCAAAAACCCAAGAACAAGATATTTGAAGAATCCTTACATTTGTCTACAGAATCATTTCCCACAGAGACTATATCTCTTTGATTAATTAACCTCAATGTTGCACAGTCATTGAACCAGTTAACTTTTTATTATATTAAATAATTTTTAATAACACCAGGAATACTACTAAACAACCTAAACCAAGACAGGAGCCATTACTCACATTGGCCTAACACAGAGGCAACATAGCCTTGATCACAGAGAAATGATCAGCTCACTGCATCCATTCTGAAAACCGCAAAGCAGAGTAGATGATTAAAAAATTGAATATTCTTTCCATCAATCTGTATTTTTCACCATTCATTTACATAGTCATTTGAGTATTTATTTTTTCTTAATACAACAAATGTGAAACTTGCAACTAACTCAGAGCACTAACCATTACTTATTGCTGTCTATATGATCCTTAGTCAAAGATGTATTACACTTGGTCCATTAATTATCCATCCATTTCAATTTATATTAGTATTATTGTTCTTTACTATACATCTCAACATTAAATAATACTCCACCTTCATCTGTATTAATTTATACATGTTTATTTTTCATTGCTATTTTAATAATATAACATTTTTATAATTCATAAACATAAAGAAAAAGAACAAGGTTCTTGTATTTCCCTGACATCTGTCTACAGGAGTTTTTCAGACAGAGGGACTAGGCTAGATACTGCTTGTGATGGACCTCAGAGTTCCAGATATGTATTCATTGTGTGACTCATAGGCCACCAGTGGTCATCATCAGTCCAGCCAGAATTGGCCCTGTTTCTCTCCTTTTATTTATAAGTAGTTTCCTAATGATTCATTAATTCACTAACAATAACATAAATACCTCTGGATCACCAAGTTTTAAGGACAAGATCCTTAAGTATCCCTAATATCTGTCTATATAATCATTTGCTTCAATTTGTATATTAATACTTCCTTCATTAGTCATGTTCATTAACATAACATCTGTTAATCTACACAATATTTCATGTCAAGTCCATATGTATCCTTGGGACATGGCTGGCCTTCCTTCATTACATTAATATATAATACTTTTAAAATATTACACTGAATATCCTAAACAAATAAGCAAAAGCAAAAAATAATTTTACTATTAACTCACATTGGCTCATGTGCACCTCTACAGAGCGACAGACATGGGGCTCCAGATCAAGGCCAGATGTTCTGCCAGCCCAGATGTGTCCATTCTGGGAAGTGCAAAGCAGAGAAGATGACAGGATTGAAATATTTTTCATGGATTCATTCATTCGACCCTTCTCTTAGTCATTCAGGTATCTATTAATTGTGGTAATACTTATCAATTTTCTTTTTAAAAAATGAACAATAACACACTTGTTCTGATGCAAAATAAGAAACTTGACTATACTGCCTTTGTCATCCTTAGTCAAAAAACAACACTTGAATTGTTTGTTTTTTTAATGGCATTCAGATTTTCAATAGGTTTTAATGATTTCTGTTGTCTCATCATTTACATTGAGTGGACATGCTTCACATTCCCCGTCTTTACTTTTTTATATGTGAACATTGATTATTACATCAATGAATTTATTTTAAAGAAGAATCAAAATTCATAAAAACAATCAAGAAGATGGTCCTTTTGTATTTCCAAAACCTAACTACAGGATCACTTCAAAAGCAATAGACTATATTTCCTCCTCTATTGAACCTCAGAGTTCTAGACACACATTATTCAGCATCCTTGACTTCTATGTCACCAGTTTTCATCATTGGCTCAGGCTTAGAACTCTTTAGCTTAATTCTCATCTACATGTATTTATGCATTAAATCACTAATATTAATTTTATAACCCATGTAAATATAATATCCAAAGAGTAAGAGCATAGAATATTCTAGAACTTTCTATACAATCTGTCAGTTTGATATATCTTACATGAATTATCCTCATTGTGCCATAAATGAGCTAGTAAATATACTGTTTCAACTAACTTCATATTTATTATTGGCTGAGGTTGGCCTTTTGGATGAGTTTTCACACTTTCATGATATTATGAATACCCTTTAAAAAGTCTCCTAGAGAAAGACATGAAATTTAACTATTACTCACACTGATCTCTATGCTCCTAACCAACAGTAGCAACCATGAATCTCATGACCATGAATGCTTAGGTCAGCTCAAGTGCATCCATTCTGCAGAATACAAAGAGCAGGTAATTAAAAAAAAAATTCAAAACTTATCTCCATTGATCCTTTCCACATTTCCGTTATTCAGTTATTTTGATATTGATTATTGTTTCAGAATGGAAATGTTTTCTCTCATAACAAAAGGAAAAATATCAAATGAGACTGAATCAGAAAATGAAACTGACTCTTCTTATTAGAGTCTAGATGAACCTTAGCCAAAGAGGTGACATTCATGATCCATTTCCTTAAAGGGCATCAGTGTTTAAAATTTTTAATGATAATATTTCTTACATCATCATGTGTATTCATAATTGAACAATGATTCACTCTCTATTTACTAATTCTTGTTTAATTGTTCTATCATTTATCTATCGATGATAAATCTAAATCTATTAATCCAAAGTAAGAATATGATCTTTCCACATTTCTGATATCTATCCAATTACGTTTTCTGTTGGACCTCAGAGTTTCAGACACACAGTATTCATCGTCCATGACTCAAACGCCATCAGTAGTCATCATTGGTCCATGTTTGGGTCCCTTTTCTTCATTCGTTTCTACATTTGTTTGAATAAATCATTAATTCATTAATAACAACTAAATAAACATGTGATTTACAAAGCCCAAGACAAGATCCTTGAAAATCCCTAATATTAGTCTATGGAATCATTTCCCATACAGACTATATGTCTTTCATTAATTGACCTCTATGTACATTAACAGTTAATCAAAATAATATTTTGTATCATATCTATAAATGGGTCATTTAGCTATTTAAGTATGTTTAATACTTTTTAAATTTAGTTTAACACTAACACCCTGAAGCAAATGGCACAGAGCAAAGTAAGAACTTTGACTGTTACTCACATTGGTCTCTTTCCTAAGAAGGACATTTAATCTTGATCATAGAAGAATGCTTAAGTCAGCTCAGTGCATCCATTCTGAAGAGTGCAAGGCAAAGAAGATGAAAATATTGAGACATCCTCTCTATTGGTCCATATTTTCCACTGTTCATTTACACAGTTATTTATGTATTTATTAATTTTTCTCTTAATACAACAAATGTTAAACTTGCAACTGATTCAGAGCAATAACTATTACTTATCACTGACTATAGGATCTTTAGTGAAAGATGTAATATGCTGATCTACTTATTATCGATTTCAATTTATATTAGTACTATTTGTTCTTATACATTTTAACATCAAACAGTAATTTATGTCTCATCTTTATTTATACATGTTTATTGACTCTACCATTGCTACTTTAATTAAAATATTTTTTAGAATTAATAAACATAAAGACAAGAATAGGCCATAGTGTTCTCCTGATATTTGTCTATAGGAGCATCTAAACAGAGGGGATGGAATGGACTAGATTCCTTTTGGTTTGCACCTCAGAGTTTCAGACATCTATTATTCATCACGCAAGATGCATACGCTGGCAGTTGTTACTATTGGTCCAGGAAGGACCACTTTCTCCTCATTCGTATATGCCATCCTCCAGCAAGCAGTAATACCTTTGACTCACTCATTCTTAATAGAAAGAAGACATCAGTGTTTTTAATATAAATGGATAGTATTTCTTGTTTCACCATATATTTCCGTAATTGGACAATGCCTCACTCTTTTTGTCTTTATGCAGTTAAAATATATTTGCTTATTGATTCATTGATCCAATTATAAAAATAGAGGGAAAATGCATGAACAAGAAGAACAAGAACAACATCCTCAAATATTCCTAATGTCTATCCTTAGGATCAGAAGGTGAAGACTAGATTTTTTATTATATTGGACCTCAGACTTCCAGACCTGTATTCATCGTCCATGACTCATACGCCACCAGTCATCATCATTGGTCCAAGATTGACTCCATCTTTCTTCATGTCTATCTACATTTGTTTTTTGATTAATTAATCAATTCATTAACAGTGCTGTAATAATAAAATAAATAGCTATGAAGAAGGAAATCTTAAAAATAAATTTATACTTAAGTAGTGAATAATAAAAATGCTTGACCTTATTTGATTATATTTTAGACTTCTTAAGAATACAGAGAATACCCTTAAAACAAAGCAAGAATTTTGACTACTACTCACAAGAGTCTTCCTGTGACACATAGAGGTAACCATACAGTTCATGGTCATAGCACAGTGCTTAAATCAGATGGGGCTGTTCATTCTGAGGAGTAGAAAGCAGACCAGATGATAAACATTGATAACTTGTCCTCATTCACTTTTGTATTACCCTTTCATTTTCACAATAGTTTAGGTATTTATTAATCTGTGATAATATTTGTATATTTTTCTTTTAATAAAATTAACCTTGAACTTGAACTCATCCAGAACAATAATATTGACTATTTCTTATATGCAGTGTCTTAAGACCCTTAGACAAAGAAATATCATGTTTGGTACATATATTTCTTGAGACTTCAGTGTTTTCCATTTATATTAGTAGTTTTTCTTGCCTAATCACATTTATTCATAGTTGAGCAATGCTTCGGTCTCCTTTTTTACTTGTTTATATGCATGTTTATTGGTTCTGTCATTGATCCCTTTATAATAATAAAATCAAAATTTACTAACAAAATCCTTGATATTAGACTTAAGAACTTAAGACAATTACTAACAGCAGCCTATATCCTCCCTACTCACATGGGTAGCCATCAAAACCTTCATCAGTGGAAAATGATTGGATCAGCCATCATGCCTCCATTCTGTGAAGTACAAACCAGATGTTAGAAAGAATGAAACTACTGTGATTTTTCTTTCTGTTTACGGATGTCGTGTGTTACTGGATTAATTGCAACTCTTGATAGGTAACAGAGTTTTATCACTAGCTTATGATTGGCCTATTACTAGCTCAAAATTAAGTTTTAATAAACTAATAAGTACAATAAACCTCATTCCTAAATACAAGAAAAAGAACTATATAATGAATAGTTGTCTCTATGCCTCTCTGAAATAGATAACAATAATTTAGGTTTACTTTTAAATGAACTGCATTTAAATGAAATTAATCTAAATGATTGTTTCATGGCACAGTTTCATCAATGGTCTACAGTATCCCTTGTTTAGGTATACATCCGTTTGTATACCTCTGTATCTATGTATTTGTGTCTGTACTTCCTTATGGATTAATTAATCATCATTCACATTTCTAAAGAAAGTTAGCAGGTTAAGAAAACCAACAACTAAGAACTAAAATATAATGTTTTCCTCTGTCTACATGTAAAATACCCTAAGTGGACAGAGCCTTGAAATTCTTTCTATATCTAAACAACAGTTAAATAAAAAGGAACCCAGTCTTCCTTTTTTTTTTTTTTTTTGAGGCGGAGTCTGGCTCCCTTGCCTAGGCTGGAGTGCAGTGGCCGGATCTCAGCTCACTGCAAGCTCTGCCTCCTGGGTTCACGCCATTCTCCTGCCTCAGCCTCCCGAGTACCTGGGACTACAGGCGCCCGCCACCTCGCCCAGCTAGTTTTTTGTATTTTTTAGTAGAGACGGGGTTTCACTGTGTTAGCCAGGATGGTCTCGATCTCCTGACCTCGTGATCCGCCCGTCTCGGCCTCCCAAAGTGCTGGGATTACAGGCTTGAGCCACCGCGCCCGGCCCCCAGTCTTCTTAACAGTCAATGTTTGGCCCTGTAGTTTAGTTACTGGGTTAATCTTTTACTTATTTATTTAACAGCTTTTTTCTTTTAAATAAAATGAAAAACTATGAATTCACTCTATAACCTGAGCAAGAGTCTTCCTGTGACTATTACAAAAGAGCAAGAAAATTGACTATTACAAAAATTGCCTATAATCTCCTCATCCAAAGGGATAACATGCTTCATCAAGCCCTAGTGAAATTCAGTGTTTCGGAAATATTTTTTGAAATAGCTAATTCACGCTGGGCTTAATACCTAGGTGATGGGTTGATAGGTGCAGCAAACCACCGTGGCACACATTTACCTAGGTAACAAACCTGCACATCCTGCACATGTACCCCAGAACTTAAAATAAAATTAAAATGCAAAAAAGAAACCAAAAATTATTGTTTCATTCTATATGCCCATACTAGATTCTTTTCTTCTTTCATTCTACATTAGGGCATTAATTCAATCATCATACACTTATAATAATACAATCAATATCCATCAAAACCTTAAAACTTAAACACCATGAGTACTGCCACATTGTCTGTGGGCTCATTTTCCACAAGATGAATAGACTGTCCCTCTTGGAAATGGACATTACTACTGCATATTTGAACTAATCTTAATCCTTGGTTCAACCCAACAAAAACTCACCATTGGTCCATATTTAGTATTCTTCATCATCATTCATTTACACATTATCTCATGTTTCATTGATTTACTAACAGCGTAATCAATTCCTATGAATCCCAAAAACCCAGTAACAAGAAATCAGACAACCATGACATCTCTTCATAGGTCATTTCTCACAGAGGAAGGAAGATAGATCCCTTTGTGTGATAGATTCAGTTTTTCAGATTAGCAGATTAATGACCATATCTGCTTCCTATTAATCCCATACTCTTAATTGGTCAAGGCTTGATCATCTTTCATTGACCTTGTCCCTATTTTAAGGATGTGACGATAAAGAACTATGAACCTACCATTTTACCCCACACTGACAATATCCTCCATCTTGGAATGTGACTAAGCTGTCTTTACAGAGGGAAGTTAAAATCAACTGTGACTCAAATAAAATTGAATTAATTTTTACATTAATTAACTCAATAATAAACTATTAAAATGAATAAGACAGTCTTGCTTTTTTCTCCTTAACTGACCACAGATGTGCTGAATGATTCACATATAAACTTTATTCATTTTATTTGTGTATGTAGTCATTTATTCCTTTCCAGTAAGAGTTAACTCTCTTAACAACCACTAAAGCAAAAGCAATCACTTTGTTACTTACATAGGTTTCTACACTCATTACTCAAACAGACAACAACCATGATCTTCCTCGCTGGAGAATAATTGAATCATTGCGCATCCATTCTGTGGAGTACAAGGTGAATATAAAAGTAGGTAGATGAGAGAGAGAGAAAAATGGATCAGCCTAGATTTAGATTTTTTTAAATTCAGTTCAGGTCGACAATTATTGATTAGAAATAAACCCTGGTACTTGTCATATGTTTAAAAGATGAATAACATACCCATTGATTCATTGATTAATTGACTTAGGTATGAAATTTAACTACTATAAGTAACACCAGGCAAAAGAATAATAACTGTGACTTTTAAACATGTCTGTCTGTTTATCTGCCTTCTACCCAATCAGGAAAGAGTTAAATCTCCTTGGTACATGAATCTTGCTAGAAAGAATTAAATTAATTTGAATCCTGAATTCGAATATATTCTGAACAACTGTGCATGCATGCATACATACATATGAAGTTAAATAGTTACACATGGAGTCATTTGTCTATTTCGTGTCTTAAGGAAATTGCACCAACAAGACTGAAAGGGAAATACTATCCAAATATATAAATACATTCACCATTACAAAAACGCAAGAGCCTACCTCAATTTTGTTTATGGAAATAACGACAATACTGGAGAGCCATTGTACGGAACTGGATTAATTACTCTTTTTGTTCCATAATACCTGACCCTCACTGGTCCATGATTTGGCCTTATTTTAAATAACTGGTTGGGACATTAATTTGTTCCTTTTTACATTTATAATAAAATCATTATATCTGTGACTTCACAGAAACTGGACAACATCAATGCCTGTCCAAATGCTCATTAGACAGAAAATTCAGATCAGTTTCCTTGTTTTCATAAATTAAACTGAGGAACTGAATTTAAATAGCGAAGATTATTAGAATTCATTGTAACTGATCATTTGACATATTCTCAAGATAGATCCATGTGTAAACCCTCTCTCAATTAGGTAGTGATTTAAGCAATAATTTAAGTAAATACTTTGCCCTCTTCTTTTAAAAAACAAAAAATGAATACCCTAAACCAGAACAACATGGACTCTAACATCCATTTATCTAAATGCTCCTTATCCAAAGGGTCAGTTTTGATTAATTGATTTTACTGGGACTTAGTGCTTCAGAAATGTATTAGTAACGATTCTTATTATTTTATATAGTCTCATATTTGGAACAGGAATAACCATTTTGTTTTTATTTATACAGCACTTTTCTTGATTTATCCATGTACTTGTTTACTAAAACTAATACAGTCCATACTCAGAAGTACAATAACTAAATCCTGATTATTGTTAGCTTCTGGAATAAGCTCATTTTCCATAGACTGAAAAGCACTCTTTTTGTAATGGACCTCAGAGTTACAGGGTTTAATCAAAATCCAAGATTCAGACACCCCAGGGTACTCATCATTGATCCAGGATAAGCAATCTTTTCCTTCGTTTATACCTTTGCTTATTGATCCATTCATTGATTCAGTAGCAGTAACAAAGTCAATACCCATTGTTATTTTAGCATCTAAGAACAATATCCTTGAATATAACCAAGATCTGTTTACAGACTCTTTTTGCATAGACTAGCCCTTTTCTCAGTAGACTAGATCTCCTTTCGTAGTGGCCCACAGTGAAGCAAGTATAGATTAATGAACATCCTTGCTTCCTAGCCATCTCATTCCACTTATCTTCCACCTTTCCATGCATTCCTCCCTCATTAAGGAGCTGTCTAACAGGACTTTGCATATAATGTAAATGCACTGTAACTGCATTCTCCAGTACAGTCACCAATAGCCACATACAGCTACTGAGCACTGGAAATGTGGCTAATGCAACTGAGAAATTACATTTAAAAGTGCATGTACCTTTAATTATTTTAAATATAAATAGCCGCAAGTGGATAGAGGAAACGACATTGAACAGTGCAGCCGTAGATTTTGTTACTGAATAAATCTTAAATTAAATGCAGTATAAACAAGATGATTAATCAGAAGTAAAAAATGAATAAAATGTCTTTCATCTTATTTTTAACCAAAATTGTGCTTAATTGGACTAACCATAATCTAAGTTTTGTAACACATTCATATCATTGATCTACATATGCCTTGACTTTAAGTAATTCAGTGAACTTTAATGAAAAATTTACCCTAATTGACAAGCTTTTTGACTGTTATTTACTTAAGTCTTTAGCTTCCTTACCCGTAAAGGTAACAGCCAAGATCTTCATCAGCAGAGACGGATTAAATCAGCCATGGTCTTCATTCTGTGGAGTCGAATACAAATTTTCAAAAGAATGAACAGTACAGATTTAGATTGACTTAAAAGACATTAGTTGTGTGATATTAAATTAATCATAAAGTTGACTCAAATCCCATTTTTATCACTGACCCAAGAACTACACTTATTTTTATTTCTTGATTTAACTATCAACTTTAAATAATACAATAAACACTGTTAAATTCATCACCCAAAACAAAAACTAGGACTACTGCCCACATCTGTCTATAGACACCTACCCACAAAGGCAACCGCTTAGATCATCTTTTTTATTTAATGGACTCAACGTGTGTAGAAATGCATGAATTTAAATTCATGATTCATGGCATATTTTCACCAATGGTAAATGCTTTACCCTACTTACATATTAATTCAATCATTTATTGTTTCGATTTGTTCATTTATGTTACGACGCATGGAATATTTTATTATACATTCACAAACACACACACACACACACACTGCAGTCAATTCATGAAGACCCCAGAACACAAATGCTTTTCATGTTCAATGTCTATATTCCCCCACCTAACCAGGAAGAGAGCATCGGTAGTATAGACAAAGATTAACTTTCATTTTCATTTCTCACTCAGTTGTGTTATTTAAAAAATAAATAACACAACTTTTAAAAGGTTTAAAAAATTAACTGTGACAAGGACCTCTTTTAAAAAATTAACTGTGACAAGGACATATTCTATTCACATATAACAATTCAATATATGGGAATTTACTTACATTATAGAAGAAGCTTGAATAATATTATGTCTCCATATGTCCATTATGCTATCCACAGAGATTTAGAAACTAGATGCTTTTTTAAGTTTTTAATAAAACTTAGTACAGAGTTGGATTTATAGTAACTTTTCATAAGGAATATTCTTAAGTTGAAATATGCTCATTTATTTCCAATTAAATAACTGTTCCACCTATTATTTACTTACTTATTTATTTTGAGACGGAGTCTCGCTCTGTCGCCCAGGCTGGAGTGCAGTGGTGCAATCTCGGCTCACTGCAAGCTCCGCCTTCCAGGTTCACGCCATTCTCCTGCCTCAGCCTCCCAAGTACCTGGGACTACAGGTGCCCGCCACCACACCTGGCTAATTTTTTGTATTTTTAGTAGAGATGGGGCTTCACCACGTTAGCCAGAATGGTCTCGATCTCCTGACCTCGTGATCCTCCCTCCTCCGCCTCCCAAAGTGCTGGGATTACAGGTGTGAGTCACCATGCCCAGCAATTTTCCCTTCTTTAAATAAAACCAATCAGCAAACAACCATAAACATCAAACAATTATTTTGTGTCTTGCATACACCTGTTCACATACTCCTTCCAAAACAAGGCAACAGCCTCTATCAATATATATCACTGGAATTCAGTGCTATAGAAGCATATAATAATAATCCATTCATCATTACATACTCTCATAATTGGTCAATGCCAAGCTCTCCTTATATTTACTCATTTATGCAAAAGTTATGCATTGATTTACTTATAAAACGGAATCTATACCAAAAAACTGTGAACACCCATGATCAAGATACCTGAATATTCTGAACTTGTGTTATAAGCTCATTTCCCTAGAGGGAAAAATGGGGGCCTCTTTTTTAAATGGACCTCAGAGTTACAGATGGCTTTAATCAAAATTTTTGATTCAGACACCCTCCAATCTCATCATTGGTCCAGGCTTGGCACTCTTTTTCTTCATTCACATATACCTTCATTTTCCCATGAATCACAAATTCTAAGAACAAGACCCTGGATATCACTACAACATATCTCTAGGCTCAATTCCCACAAAGCTGTCAGACTAGATCTCAGTGCCACACGTGGAATAATCAATAAATCTTGATTCATATCAGTACTATCAATATCAATGGCCAATGACTGGGCTATGTTCATTTAATTTGCATAATTTTAAAGGTGGTATAATGAACAATGAAAATCCGCAATGGTATCCCCTACTAGAACAAACAGCATGTTTCACCTTACAAGAGCTTCTCCTGAACAGTTAACAGCCTGAATCTCTTCCAGTATGGAAATGCTTAAATCAAGTATGGTGTAGAAATACTATGAAATATGAAACATTTCTGAAAATTAAATTCCTTCTACCTTTTTAAAAAATAAGTCTCTATTGTGCTTAAATGGGTCAGTCCTACTCCTTGGCCTACAACACATTCTTATTATTGGTTGTTACTTGATGTTTTTATTTTTGTGTATATGGCCTTTTGTTCCTTTCTTCGATAATCACACATGAACCAACCGCATAACCCACCAACAGAAACTCCATTACTAACATTGCTTCTTACCACAGAAGAAATCGTCATGCTCTTCACCTTGGAGAAATGACCAAATCCAATCTCATCTAGTCTTTCTGGAGGAAAAGGCAGATTTTTATAAGAATAAAAAGTATACATTTTTAAATCCATTTTTAAGTAGAAGTTAGTTCTCCATTACTAGATGGATTACAAACATTCGTTTGTGTCAAATTTTAATCATCAACCCAACAGTTCTTTTTCATGTACTGACTTAATTCTTAGCATGAAATAATATCATGAACATTTTCAAATCTACCACCCAGCACAAGAAGAGCAATTTTCAATATCTGCCTAGGTATTCCTAGCATGAAGGGAAGACACATTTTTAATGAGGAAAACTTTTGTACTATAAGATGAATTTAAATTGTTGTTTTATAACATAATCTGACCAGTGGGCCACAGTTATTTTAATTCAAGCCATTTACTGATTCGTTTATTTACTCATCTATTTAATAACTCAAAAAATAATTTAATTATCTACTCTCTTTTCTAAAGAAAACTCAAAATGGTGAAGTCACCTGCTACCTAAAATTAAATACTATTACCTGCAACTGTTCCTATTAGCCCTGTATGTGCTGTTGGAACGTTCCTCAGTGACACGAATGTTCTCTATTGGCGATTCTGAAATGGTGGTCACTTGTGACCTGTGGCTTGGGGTGTGACTAGTGTGATTGAGGAACTGAATTTTTATTTTTTAATTAATTTCCATTTAAATGTTAATAGCAAAATATGTCTAGAGAGTGGGTCTTTACAACCCTTCCAAAGGAAGGAGGGTCCTGGACCTTTTTTGTTTAAGTGGACTTCAAGAGGATAGACAAGATTAATCACACCCCTTCACACATTACATACGCTTCTCACTAGTCCGTGATCTACCCTCTTTTAAATAAGGGATGGAGATATAAAATGATTCTTTTACTCATAATAATAATGCCACTATTCATGAATTCAAAGGACACTGGACAAAAGCCCTTTATGACACTAGCATCTAGTTATTCACTTATTACTCATAAAAGTCATGAAAATGCATTTGCATTTTTCTTTTTAAATAATAATGAGCAAACATAAGAGGATTTTTAGTTATTACATTCAAATTTTCAATGTTCACCCTTAGACTTTCTCCACACTTCACAACCTAATCATTAGTATTTTAATGTCTATTATTAATTATATTAAATTATTGTTTATTATAAAAATTTAAGCTAATATATTTAGCATGATTTGTAATTGTTATTATTGAATATAAATATTAATTTTATTGGCTAATATTTATTATATTAACTATTATTCAACTAAATACATCATTTAAGTATATGTTTTATCCTTTTCTAAATCAAACAAGACATGCAACCAGAAACTTGCCACTAACTCGGAACACTGAATGCATATCTATCTATATGCTCTCGAAGGAGGAGCAGATTTATTTTATTTAAACTCAAAACATCATTAGCTCCTTTCATGATTGAATGAGATGTAGCCTTCCTTGTCTTTATTTGTATTTTTCTTTATTCATTCATTGATTTACTTATAATACAATCCATACCCATTAACCAAAAAGTACCAAGAACACATTCCTTGAATATGTCTAACTTTCTCTTGAAGCACATTTCCCATAGATAGAACGGACCTCAGAGATACAGACAGGGTATAATCAGAATATTTGATTCAGATGCCCCACGCATACTCATCATTGATCCAGACTTGGTATTCTGTGCTTTCATTCAAATATACTGTTCTTGATTTATGCATTGGTTCACTAATAGTAAAATCACTATCCATGAATTACAGGGTTAAAAGATCCTTGAAGATGTAACTATGTCTGTAAGATTCATATTCCACAGAACTAGAGGACTGGCTCTCTCTGTAATGAGCCTGAGTGTTGCAAAGGTGAATTAATTCATTTCCACAAATTGCACCACATCAATTCCATATTAGCCATTAGTCCATGGTTGGGCTTTTTTCATTTAACATTCATATTTTTAAGACGGTACTATGGTTATATCATGGTATAACTACCAAGTTATACCACAGTTATAGGCAAGATGTTCCATTTTCTTATGTTCTTCCCTCAATTAGTTAACAGTCAATAACAATCACAATGGGGAAGTGTTTAAATCCACTATGGTACAAAAACAGTATATGAAGGCATTCTGAAAATGACAGAAATACCTTTCAACTTTTTGTCCTAATGAATTTGGTTGTGCTGAAATGGATTAATCACAATTCTTAATTCATAACACATTTCTACCATTGGTCCATGCATAACCACCTTTGACTCATTTATGTATGTAGCCATTTATTCCTTTGAAATAATTCAATGAATAAACATGATCAAGTTTCCCAAGCAAGAACATAAAGCTTGATTTTTACTTACATTGATCTCTTCTCTGCTGATTCACAGAGATAAAGGCAAGATCTTCACTAGAAGATTATAATTAAATCAGGTAGAGTGCGTTCATTCTGCAGTATAAAACACAAAGTTTAAAAAGAATCAAATACTATATGTTTAGCTCTTTAAAATGAATCATAGTTGTGTAGTAAACAAACATAAACCTTGTTTTGTACCCTATTCTGAACACTTGAGAAGGGTGAGCACTGCTTTCTATTTATTAACTTACATAAATTGTTTTTGTCAAGATGAAATATCTCCACTATGAAATTTTTTGTTTTAGACAATATAATAAACACTGTGAATCTAGTACCAAACCTGTTTGTTTGCTTAAGTAAAATTCCATAAAAGATTGAATTAATCATGAGTGTGGTTGTATATAGATATCATCGTTCCATGCTCTCCCTCTCTCAATTACAGTTACTCAGTCAACTATTTATTTATGTAAATGTATTTCCTTTTCCTTAATAAAATGATCAATCAGCAACCTGCCTCAACACAGAACAAAAACATTCAGTCTTGTGCACAGAAGACCATATGCTCCTTACCATGATAAGAGTCTTAACTACTAATTTATTGGGACTAAGAATCTCAAAATTGTTTCAATAATAATCCATGTTGCATTACATGCCTTAAGAGACAAGTGCATGCATACTTTTCTTACTCTCATTGATAAAATTCTATACTCATGGACTAAGTTTATTATAATAAAGTAATTCATACCCTCAAACCACAAAAGGCCCATGAACAAGGTCCTATAGACTCATTTCCCGTGCAGAATAAAGAAGTGTCTCTTTGTAATGGACCTCAGAGTTGCAGATGGGTTTAATCAAAATTGTTGTTTCAGAAACCCCATGACATTCATCACTGGTCCATAATGTGCATTTTTTTCATGTATTGATTAACCTATTGACTCACAAATAATGATGCAATCAAAAATCCCCAAAACAAGATCATTAAATTTTAGGCTCTTGGCCCATAGAGCTACAGACTACATTTCTTAGGCAATGACACTTAAAGATGCACATGTGAATTGCTCAACGCCCCTGCATGCTCTCAATTCACATTCAGCATTCAATCTGATATAGCCCACTTCTATTTAATTTGTATATATGTCGAAGATGGTCCGATAAAAAACAATGAAATCTCTATATTCCATATTCTTATGGGCTGCCCCGAAACAGACGTCAGCCAGGATCTCTACCCATAAGGGAATGTGTAAAATAACCATGGCATAAAATAAAGAATAATGCTGAGCTGCTCTGAGAATAAGTTAACTTTTGTCTTCTTTTATAATCACCTCAGTTGTAACAATTTAGATTAAACATAAGTAATGGTTCATTACACATTCCCATCATTGGTCTATTTGGGGTGTTTTATTTCTTTCATGTATGTAGACATTGATTCCTTTGAAATCCTTTAGCTAACACCCAAGAACAAACCATTCAAAGAAAGAACATGAAATAAGGCACTTACTTATATTTGCCTCTATGCTCCTTACTCAGGATAACAATTCTTTCTTAAATTATTAAATCAGCTGGCCTATGTCCACTCTGGAGAGAAAAAGGCAGATTTAGAATAGATATAGGGTTTTTTCAACGGATGTTAGACAAGCAGAACTAGATAACAATAAACCTTGGCTCAAAAATGCAATGTTTTTCAGGCCAGTATTGAACTTTTAGTTTTAAATAGTATAATAGACACTATTGAGTTCATCACCTAGCCCAAGAATAAGATCTATAATGATTATGAATATTTGTCTATATAAAAATCTGTTAAGTAGGTATCACTTAATGGATTTCTGGCTGATGCAAACACTTTCCCTTTTCTTAATTTAAAAAAAAAAAAGCAAACTATAAAAATCAAAAAATTGTCTCAACTGCAGATACAATATGTTCCATATAATAGGATTTTACCTCAGATTAATAAATATACTTGCTTTATTGCCAGTGTTAATATTTATAATACTTTTTCATTGTACTCAAAGAATAGTTCCTTAAGTAGGCCTGTTAATCTCTCATGTGCACATTTCTCTATTTATGCATTGAATTCGCTTAAAATAATACATTCCATATCTTTGAACTACAAAATCTCAGGAACAAGTTTTACTGAATTATCCTAACTTCTATTAGGAAATTTCTACAGAGAATATTGGCTGGTTCTCAATCAATAACAGATCTCAGAGTTACACAGAGGGCTTAATCAAAAGTGTTGATTCAGACACTTCCACCAATACTCATCATTGATCCAGGCTAGGCATTCTATTTCTTCATTCATTTACACCCTCTTGAACTGACTCAGTCATTCATAGTTTCAGGAATAATAATTATATGATCAATAGTCCTTAATGACACAAAACTGAGAACAAAAGGCTTTAACAGAACCAAGATCTGTTTATTACTCCCATTCACGCAGAACAAATAGACTAGATCATATTTCGTGATGAACCTCAAGTTTACACATATTCATCAGCGACTCTGCTGCATTTAAATCTCATACTTGTGATTGGTGTCTACCAGCTTCTCTTCCACTTGATTTGTCTACTCATTAATGTGGGTGCAAACCATGCACCTACCATGTGAGCCCACAATTGAGCAAATTAATACATAATATCTTCCAAGGTACCTCTACCTCAAAAAGTCAACAACTTAAATGTTTGTCAGTGAAGGAATATGTTAAGCAACTATAGCAGAAACATTAAATGGGAATTGAAATTACTCTGGCAATATATGAAATGCTCTTCATTTATTTAACAATGGTCTTCAGTTGGGTTGGGTTGAATGAATCATAAATTTTTGTTGATGGCACATTACAATCATAAGTCCATGGCTGGCATTCCTTAATTTCATGTGTTATTTAGCCATTTATTTTATCAAAATAATGTAGTGTGTTCCCATGAATGAATACCCTCCAAGCCCAAAACATCAATTTGATGTTTACTTACATCAGTCATTCTGTTCCTTAGTCCACCAAATAACAATAATGGTCTTCATGATTAGAGAATAATAAAACCAGCTACATGGTTTTCATTCTATAGAGAAAAATAAAGCCTTGTTTCAAAAACATTTTAAAAGGCTCTTTTTAAAAGCCTCTTTTAAAAAACATTTTTCTAAGAAACTATATTACTACAACTTGGAAAGGCCCATATATGTATTCCAAAAACAATGAAAGAGCCTAGAGTTTTTCTTAGAATGTCTGTCATGAAAAAAGAACATGAATCATATTCTCATATCATAACGTTTGTTCCTAATTGGTCCATGGTTTGCTGACTCTAAAATACAAACAGAGACACAGAAGTGCACCTTCCTTCTCATATACAAAAGACATCAGTATCTGTGCTCTCACAGCACTGGACAAGAACACTGAGGAATATTTACATCTGTCTAGAGTCATTGCCCTCAGGAAGAACAGATTATGTTTCTTTTTTTATTTGTTTAATAAAAATCCATTAAAAATTAGATTAATGCACTCATCATTGGTCTCTGTTTGGTCTCAATTAAGTGGTTATTTAACCAACTATTTATATGATTAAAGATGTTTCATTTTCTTAATAAAACAGTCAGCAACCCCCCACCAACACAGAACAAAAACCCTGACTCTTGCATACAAATGACCATATGCTCCCTACCAGAATGGTAGAAGCCTTGGCTATTAATTTATTGGGAGTCTCAGATAAGTTTTAATAATAATCCATGTTTCATTACATTCACTGATAATAAGCACATGACTTATGCTTTTTGTTTTACTCATTGATAAATTTTTAATTCATGGGCTGATTTTATAACAAAAATGCAATCCATCCCCAAGAACCACAAAGTCCAAGGACAAGGTACCGTAAGCTCACTTCCCAAAAAAGGAATAATTACGTGTCTCTTTGTAATGGACCTCAGAGTTGCATATGGGTTTAATCAAAAATCCTGTTTCAGATACCCCATGGTACTCATCATTGGTCCAAGCACGTTTTTCTTCCTTTATATCATTCATTTATTATTCATTGGTTCATGAATAATAATATAAAGACAAAATTCTAGGAATAAGATATTCCCATTAGTGGCTCTCTCCCTAAAGACTAGGTCTCCTTTTACAATGGACCTCAGAAAACGTGTGTGATTAATTGACATCCATGCTTCATACCAAATCCACATTCACCATTATTTCTTCCGTAGTCTTAGTCAATTTGCCCATGTTTTAAAGACAGTGCAATGAAAAGTGATAAAACCACCATCTTCCAACACTGACAATGTCTTCCATATTCTCTCAGGCTGCCACACAAAGAGTTATCAGCCAGGACCATACCAATATGGAAAAGATTAAATCATCTGTGGTAGAAAATAAGATACAATGTTCAATAATTGTGAATATAAATGGTCTAACTACTATATTTTTGTCACTTCAGTTGTGCCAAATTATATTAAACATATTTTCAGAACACATTTCCATCACTGGTCCATTCCTGGTGATTTTAATTTCTGTTATAGATATTGATTCCTTTGAAATACCACTGAACACTCCTGAACAAAGCATCCAAACCAATGACATGAACTTGAGGTGGTAACTTACATTAGTATCTATATTCTTTACCCCACGGATCTAACTGCCAAGATTTTGTTTCTTAGAAAATGAATGTCATCTATCCTGTGGTTGCTATGTGGAAGAAAAGTAGACTTATCCTAGAAGAACAAGAAGAAATAAAAGGCATCTTTATAGGAAAAAAAGAAGTGAGATTGTCTCTATTTGCTGGTGACATGATTTTATATACAGAAAATCCAAACTACCTCACAAAAAACAGTTAGAACTGACTTCTGTAAAACTGCAGGATAGAAAATCAACAAAAAAAAATTCAGTAATGACTCTATATGCTAATAGGTAATTAACTTAAAAGGAAATGAAGAAAATAAGCCCATTTACAATAGCACCAAAAATATTGTCTAAATTTAACCAAGATAGTGAAAGACCTGTATACTGAAAACTATAAAACACTAGTGAAAGAAATTGAAGAAAACACAAATAAATGGAAAGATACCCTGTGTTCATGGGTTGAAAGAACTAAGATTGTTAAAATGTCTATGCTACCTAAACCCATCTACAGGTTCGATTCAATTCCTATTAAAATTTGAATGTCATTTTTCATAGAAATAGGGGGAAAATCCTTAAATCCATATAGAACCACAAAAGACACTGAATAGCCACATACAAAAACTCTTGAGCAAAAAGAACAAAGCTGGAGGCATTACAATCCCTCACTTCAAAATATATTATAAAGTGATTATAATCAAAACAGCATAATACTGACATAAAAACAGATACATCAGCCAATGGAGCAGAATTAAAAGTTCATAAATAAACTCACACATTTACAATCAATTGATTTTAGATAAAGGTGCCAAGAGCACACAATGGGAAAAAGACAGTATATTCAATAAATGGTGTTGGGAAAACTGGTTATCAACATGCAGAATGAAATTAGATCCTTATCTCACCCAATATACAAAAATCAACTCAAAATGGATTAAAAACTTCAACACAAAATCTGAAACTATAAAACTACTAGAGGAAAAGCTCCACAACATTGGTCTAGACAATGATTTTTTTAATATGACCCCAAAAACACAGACAACAAAAGTAAAAATAGACAAGTAGAATGTCATCAAATTGAAAACCAAATTAAAATTGCTTCCAGCAAAGGAAACAATTAACAGAATGAAGAGACAACTTCCAAGTCAGGAAAAAAAATGTGCAAACCATACATCTCATAGGCGTTAATATGCAAAATATATAAGGGACACAAACAATTCAATAGCAAGAAAACCCAATTTAAAAATAGACACAGGATTTGGACAGATATTTTCCCAAAGAAGACATACTAATGGCCAACAGATACATAAAAAAATTATCAGTCACTCTAAGCACTAGGGAAATACAAATTAAAATCACAATGAGATACCATCTCTTATCTTTTAGAATGGCTTTCATCAAAAAAATGAAAGGTAACAAATGATGGCAAGGATGCAGACAAAAGGGAACTCTTCTATATTGTTGGTAGGAATGTAGTTTAGTATAGCCATTGTGGAAAAAGTTATGGAGGTTCCTCAAAAATAAAAATAAAAAACAGAACTACCATATGATCCAGAAACCCTACCCAAAGAAACCAAAATCAATATGTCATGGGGATATCTGCATTCTTATGTTTATTGCACCATTATTCATGATAGGCAAGATATGGAACCAACTTAAGGTCCACCAAGGGATGAATGAACAAATTGTGGAATATACACACAATGGAATACTATTCATCCTTTTAAAAGAAGAAAATTCTGTCATTTGTGACAGTGTGGATGAACATGGAGGATATTACGCTGAGTGAAATAAGCCAGGCACACAAAGACAAATGCCACATATTCTCTGAGCTGAACTCATAGAAGTAGTGATTAGGATGATGGTTAATGGAGGATGGGGTGAGAGTAAGGGAGGGAATGGGGAGTTGTTGATCACAGAGTACAAAGTCTCAGATAGACAGGAGGAATAAGTTTGACATCTACTGCAAAGCAGGATGACTACAGTCAATGAAACTGTGCTGGGTATTTCAAAATAAGAGAGTAAATTTCAAATGTCTCACAATAAAAATGATAAGTAAACAATAAAAATGATGGATACGTTAACTAGCTTGATTCAATCATTTCACATTGTACATCTATATCAAAACATCCCATTGTACCCCACAGATGTATACAATTATATTTTAACATTTAAAATAATATTAATATTAAATTTTAAAAAGAAAAGAAGATCTAAAATTATTAATCTAAGTCTCCACCTTAGAAAAAAGAGCAAATTAAATCTGAAGTAAGCAGAAGGAGGAAATAACAAAAACTAGAGCAGAAATCATTGAGACTAAAAAGAGAAAATCAGTAGAGAAGAATCATCAGTAACCAAAAAAAATGGGTTCTTTGGAAAGTTCAACAAAATCAAAAAGCCTCTAGAAAGCTAACTAAGAAAAAAAAGAAAAGTCACAAATTGCTAATATTAGAAAGAAAGGACATCACTACAGACCCCATGGGCATTAAGTGGATAATAAGGGAATAATATAAGCAACTCTATGCCCACAGATTTGATGACATTAAAGAAACGCACCAATTCCTTGAAAGATACAATCTGCCAAAACTCACACAAGAAAAACTATTTGAATAGGCCTATATCTATTAAAACAAATTTAATCAACAGTTAACTCTCCAAAACAGAAAACACCAGATATGGATGGATTTACAGATTAATTCTTCCAAACACTTAAGAAGAAATTATATCAATTCTCTACTCTCTTTCAGAAGATAAACTACTTCCTAACTCGTTCCCAAAGGCCAGCATTACCCAAATACCAAAACCATTAAAAAATATTCAAAGAAAAGAAAAACTACAGGCCAATATCTCTCATGAACATATCTGTCAAAATTCTCAAAAAATATTAACACCACAACCAAGTAGAATTTGTCACGGATATGCAAGCTTGGCTCAACATTTCAAAATCAGTTAATTAATCCATTATATCAACAGACAAAGGGAAAAATATCACAAGATCATATCAATAAATATAGAAAAGCATTTGACAAAATTCAACACTCATTCATGATTAAAAAATAAGGCCAGGCATGGTGGCTTATGCCTATAATCTCGATACTCGGGGAGACCAAGATGGGCGGATCACTTGAGGCCAGGAGTTTGAGACCAGCCTGGCCAACATGACAAAGCCCCGTCTCTACTAAAAATACAAAAACGAGTTGGGCATGGTGGCACATGCCTGTAATCCCAGCTACTTAGGAGGCTTGTACATGTACCTTCTGCTTAATTTTGCCGTGAACCCAAAATTACTCTAAAAAATATAAAGTCTCTGGCCTGGGATGGTGGCTCACCCCTGTAATCCCAACACTTTGGGAGGCCCAGGCGGACAGATTGTCTGAGCTCAGGAGTGCAAGATGGTGAAACCCTGTCTCTACTAAAATACAAAAAATTAGCCGGGCGTGGCAGCATGTGCCTGTAATCCCAGCTACTCAGGAGGCTGAGGCAGAACGGCTTGAGTCCAGGAGGCAGAGGTTGCAGGGAGCCGAGATTGCACCACTGCACTCCAGCCTGGGCGATCTGACCTCAGGTGATCCGCACACCTCAGTCTCCCAAAATGCTGAGATTACAGGTGTGAGCCACAGTGCCCGGCCTAATTTGTCTGTATTTTAAATATGGCACAATAAATGACCACAAGCACACCATCTTACCCCACAATAGGAACACTGACAATATAAACCATTGTCTATGTGCTGCCCTTAAACATTCAACAGATTGGCCGGGCGAGGTGGCTCATGCCTGCAACCTCAGTACTTTGGGAGGCCAAGGCAGGCATATCATGAGGTCAAGAGATTGAGACCATCCTGGCCAACATGGTGAAACCCTGTCTCCACTAAAAATACAAAAATTGGCTGGGCATGTTGGCGCGTGTTTGTAGTCCTAGTTACTTGGGAGGCTGAGACAGGAGAATCGCTTGAACCTGGGAGGCGGAGATTGCAGTGATCCCCAGCATGGTGACAGAGAGAGACTCCGTCTCAAAAAATATATATATATATATATATGTATGTGTGTGTGTGTGTGTGTGTGTGTGTATATGTTCAACAGATTAGGTCACTTGAGGAAATGTAATTGAGGAAATGTAATTTAGCTGGGGTGCAAAAATAAAATGGAATAATCCTCAACTCTAAAAGTCATTTAAAAACTTCCTTATTTTCTTTAATGTTCTCAGTTGTGTCGAATGGAAATAGAATTTTGTTTTTGTTTACAATCATTTCTATCACTGGGCAATGCACAGAGCTTTTTTTTTTTTTGAGACGGAATCTCACTCTGTTGCCCAGGCTGGAGTGCAGTGGCGCCATCTCGGCACAGAGCTTTTTTACTTTATTTAAAAATGTGCCCATTTATTTCTCTAAAATAATAAAAAGCATGAACAACTCCCCACAAATCAAGAAGATAAAAATTCACTTAAATCCATTCCTACACTTTTTACCCACAGAAGTAAGAGCCATAATTTTCACCACTGAAAAATAATTAAATCAGGTATGGTGCATCTATTGTGTAAAGTAAGAGCAGATTTAAGAAAGAACAGCCTACATGCATTTAAATCTTTCAAGGGGCATTTGTAGGACTGTACTAGATTAATTATAAACTCTCATTCACACCACATTGTAATCAGTGGCCAAAGAATGGCCTGGAATATTATTTACTGATTTATCTGGCACCCAACACAAGAATAAAAGCTATTACAAGTATCCATCTATGTGTTTTCTACCCAGATGGTAAAAGTCTAGAACTTTATTCCCAATAATGGATCTCATTTATACAATACAGAATTAGGTAAATTTAAACACTTTTTTATGGTAAAATTTCACCAAAATAGTCCATGCTAGAGTCTACTTTATGTATCTCTTTATTCATTTTTTGTTTCGCTTATTCATTTAGTAAGCATTCATGAACAATTATTTGTTTTTTCAGAGAAAACACAGTATGATCAGCCCATCAACAACCCAGAATTGTAATACAATTAAATGCAACTATACACATGAACCTGACCCCGTATGGGAAGAGCCTAGTTTTAGGTCTTTTTGTTTTGCTTTTTTTTTTTACCCAAACATCAGTA